AAATCTACACGGCGAAAATTTAACTGAAGATGAAAATTTAATTGCAACGGAGTTCATCTATGAAACTGCAAGGCATCATCCATTATATCCAAAATATTTTTATCTCATTATGGGGGGCACTGACCGGTACAATACAAAATTAGAGGTAATATTTTTGTAAAAAATGTATTTCCCATTGAAATAAACTTAATATGTGGCTCAGTTTCTTTATAGCGACTTTAAAAAGGATATTTAAAGGGACCGAATGCTTCCTGACTGATGAATGAATGAATGCTTCGTCTTACTGATAAATCTGTGGCCTAGATTTGAACCTTTTGGTAAGGCTTTCATCACGTGATGATGATTACACTATTAATAGTGCAGATTTTGGGAAAATTGTTGTTTGGAATTTTAGTAATAATTTTTGTCTCAAATTTTACTTATTTATTATTGAAAATTTTAAACCGCTAAAAAACGCTAGCCGCTAAATTATTTTTTTCCCTAAACCGAAAAAAAAACAGATTTAGCGGGAGAAAAAGCTAAATTGGCAACACTAGCAACAAGTCGGATTTTCAGCTCCATTGAAGCTTCGTTTGAAAAAAAACGTTCGGGATTGGTGCTCTGACTTACTACTGGCATGTGCACAAAATTTAGCCGCAGTAGGACATCTCTCGAATGGTATGTCTCGAAGTCATATCTGAGCAACAGAAGTCAACTTGTGGGGATACCACGTTGTCTTCTAACAAGCTAATAGAATGTGGAGTACCACAAGGCTAAGTACTAGGTCCTATTTTGTTTCTTCTTTTTATTAACGACATTGCTAACATAAACATCCAGTGGTAAAATATGTCTTTTTGCCGATGACACTAGCTTCACTTGGAGCACAGGACGTCACGGCACTTCATAACATTATATCAAATGACTTAATCACCATTAAATCTTGGTGCGATTCGAACCTCTTGAGTCTCAACATTTCTAAAGCTTTGTCATATAAAAACTCGCTGCAGCCTTTTATACTTAACAACACCACCATTGACGTCGTAAAATCTGTAAAATTCTTAGGGCTTGTTGTAGACAATTCTCTGAAATGGGACATGCATATCGACGCTTTGTCGAAAAAATTAAGCTCTGCCTATTTTGCATTAAAATCTGTTTCTAAGGAGCTTAACTTGTCAGTGGCTAAAACTGTTTATTATGCACTTTTTGAGTCACACCTCAGGTATGCCCTTCCATTCTGGGGTACGTGTTGTGCGACTCAATTTGACCGTATTTTCAAGCTCCAAAGGAGAGCTGTTCGATATTCACTGGTACTAAACAGCAGAACTCATTGCCAGGACTTTTTTAAAAAATTAAAAATATTAACTCTTTCTTCCTTATTTATATTTGAATCCGTTTGCCTAATACGTAAGCATGTATCAGCTTCTCAAGAAAGGCCATCTCACACTTATCCACTCAGGAACGCGGAGCAAGATCTTTATCTACCTACCCCACGCTCAGAGTTAGTTAAAAGTTCAATATTCTACAATTCGAAAAAAATGCCCTGCCATTTGAAATCAAATCCATTACATCATTTTCTTCATTTCGCAAAGCATTGAAATCTTATTTACTAGACAAGGCTTTCTACGCTGTAAATGTCTTATATTTTGATAATCGAATTTGATCTTGTAAACACTGGTCTAATGTTTGCTATTACTATATTTACATCGAAATAAATTTGTTTAGAGGTCATTGATATTTACTATAAACTAACTAAATATTTTTGAATATTATTTTAATTTTTTTATTCTTTGACATTGTAAACATTTAAAAATGTTTATTTTAAACAATAAGACTGACAATGTTATATTTGTATAATGTTTTGTATTCTCTTTTGTTTGTTTGTTTGTTTATTTTGTTTGTTTACTTTACCTTTGTCTACAAATTGTAAAATTTTTTGACAATAAAGGCATTTATTTATTTATTTAGGACAATTGGCCAACCAAAATCAAGCGAATATGACCAGCTCGTACTGAATAAGCTATGGTTGGTTATATTCAATTCCTGAATGGGAGTTTTACTTTGCAATCAATTAAATTATTATATTAAAAACTAAAAATCGTTATTTATAGCTTATTTTTTTGTTTGCTATATTTGCTATATTAAGATGGACTCTGACGACTCGTGTAATTGTCAAACATTTTTTATTGACATTCAAAGTCCGGCGATAGTGCGTCATAGCTCTTATAAACTTAAAAATTTTGTATAGTTGCCCGACGGACTATTGCCGGACTCTGTATACCAATAACAAATGTTTGTCAAGTAGACGAGTCGTCTGAGCGCGCATTTAGATAGACCATTTTTACTTATTTTATAATGTTAATACCTATTTTTGATTTCACGTATTCCCAAAATTGTATTCTGTTGAGTTGCTTAGTTAAGCCCCGTTCTCAGGACAACAAGAATAACAGTTGACATTTCAAATAACCAATGAGAGCTGGACTAAATTTAAAATTGACAGATGTTTGAATTTTGTACAAATCTCATTGGTTCTTTTGACGGCTGGCGACAATTAACTAGTTTAATTTACTCTTTAAAATTATATTGTACTGCCCATCAGGCAGTTTTTTGTCGTTTTCGATATTTCATAATACTGTCCCAAGTAACATTTTCACGACTTGCGACCACATGTTTACTAAACACAACGTTGGTTTAGTTACAAAAAATAGTTAGCTCCCTACCTTGGGTATTAAAATAAATTTAAACGTTTTTATAACGTTGTGCCGACGTTGGACTAGTACTACAGCAAAGTAGAAGCTTCTGCGACGTCGAATAAACGTTGTCTTGTAACCTTTTTTGCTTAAGTGACCTTTAGGTGATTCGGACAACGTAGTTACAACGTTGGACAATATAGAGTTTTCCGACGTCAGTTTCAGGACCTATTCCAACGTTATGCAAACGTCGTCTGTTTTACTAATTCCAACGTTGTTTAGATTTCCTTATTCTTACGTTGGTAGGACGTCGAGTCACTACCTTTTTGCAACTGTATTGAACCATAACCTTAAATTTTAAATTTTCACTTCATTGTTCTGTTCAGTCAGACAGTTCAGTGCTGTTTTTGTTTTTATAAAAAAAAACTTAATTAAAATGGGACATAAGAAAGGTACATATAAAACTAAATTTAAATATACATCGACATATATTACCGATAGTTTATCCACTCCCTCGTTTATTTATATTATAGAGGGCGGCACAAGCTAGACTCTAGGATGACTAAATTAGGCAATCTTGCGACTAGTATACTACCTGTTAAGGCCGAACTGCGACTTTATTAGTCCAGTATGCGACTACTCGAACTACTCCATCTTAATCTCCAAAACAACAAAGTGAAAGCCGCCATGTTGTTAAATAAGAAAATGTTTCGTGCCTAAAATAGCAATTCCTGCTTTTTGAATACATTAACTTGAAATATTTGACCCTAAAAAACACGCGGAAACAATTTTTTCGACTGCGAATAAATTATTCTCATTTTACTAAAAAAAAAAATTCAAGAAAATTTTTAAAACTTCTTTAATTTTAAGGCCCATTAGTATTTTTCAAAGTAGAAACAATACATTTATCAATAAAGTTGTTTGCGTTTAACTTTTTTGCCTTGGGTAACGAGTTACAGAGTCGGTTAAAGTGTTTCAATAATTATGATCTTCAAACTTCACACTTAAATACTTTTGTTTTGTTTTCCTTCACTGCCATCTGACATATGTCTCTAACTAAATCATAAAAATAATATTTTTACTATAATTATCCCAATTTAGGATAAAACGGGACTTAGACGCCATATTAGTTTTGTATTTCTGTGAATTAGGATTTTAAACAACGTTGCAGTTTGTACTAAATTAGGCTGCTAGCCAACGTCGGTATCCAACGTCGTTTCGACCCAAAAATTATTCTCCAAACTAGTCCAGACTAGGGTTGGCACGAGGTTGTGCCGACGTTGCGCCCCGACGTTTGGTTGCGTGACACAACGTTGTCCCGACGTCCAAATGCTGCTTGGGGTGTGTTATTCTACATACCCTGTGTATGTGACCTTTTTTATTTATAAAGTTTAAAAACTGTCTTTTAAATGGGTTTGATCTTTATTACAGTTGAGGGTTGGAACCTTTGGTGTTACACAGCAAAATAAAACACTAAATCACCACAATACACCAAAACACTTTTACTTTTACACTGGAGGCGCGTTTCGCTAACCATGTTAGCATCATCGGCAGATGATTATAAACTGGTTAGCGAAACGCGCGTCCAGTGTAAAAGTAAAAGTGTTTTGGTGTATTGTGGTGATTTAGTGTTTTATTTTGCTGGGTTTGATCTGTTGGACAATAATATTATATATTATTATAAAAAATCATAAATAAACATTTCTAAGCGCGCTATTGTGGCTTGAATTTCTGTTTTTATTGAATTAAAATTTTGAGTAAAACCACAACCTCTTCATTATACAGCCAGTCAACTTCTCTAGTTTTCGAGTATCAGCACCTGTTCTCATACAAGCAGAGCAGAGCACCTGACTCAATAATTTAAAAAAATGCAGCTTCAAAGAAGTTCAAAATCTAACTTGTTACATATAAGCGAATATCTAGTATTTAGGTAAATAGTAGATATTCGCTTATTCTAAGCTGAGGTTTTATTCAAAATTTTAATTCAATAAAAACATAGAAATTCAAGCCGATAACTGTGGTATCAATGATAAACATACATAAAATTTTACCTCAATAGCACTTTTTTAAAGGTCTGTATTTCTAAACCTAAAATTAAAAATATTGGTTCTATTTACCAACATTGCTGAATAAATACAAAAAAAGATGTTTTGTAAACAAAAGGAATTTTATCCTCTGGATGTGTCATATTTAATAATTATTAAATGTTACTGAAATAAAAACTCAAAATCAAAAAGAATTCAAATGTTTCATAATAACTTAAAGTCTAGTTGAAACACATTTTAACAAGATTTTAACATATTTTTTTAAGAGGTATTAATGAACAAAACAGAGCAAAAATTAATATTTTTATTGTAAAAGGTTTAAGTCAATATATTATTGTATTTAAAAAAAAGTTATATTACTCCTCATTTTTAGGTGCCTCCTCTTTTTTGTCTTTCTTTTTAGAGAATTCTGACAAATCTCTCCTCATGGAGTATGCATCCTCCCCGTCAGCATAATATTTAGGTTCAATCTCCACAGTTTCAAATTTGAGAGCATTCTTATATAGATTTAAAGCAGCCCTATTGCTTTTTCTTACATGCAAGGATACATATTTAGCATCGAAACACTCTACCATAGCTTCGGATGCTTGATCCATTAGTTTTTGTGCTAGTCCTAAACGACGATGAGATCTCTTAACAGCTAAAGAAGTAATATGTCCATGTTTCAAGTCTTCCTGATCCTCTTCCATTTTTGCAAGTACATAGCCCACTATTTTACCTAAAAAGTAATCCAAATATATTACACGATTACCCCTAATGTATCTATGTATATGTAGTTACCATTTTCATCCTCAGCAACATAACTTAATTGAGGCCAACTAAGACCATGATAAAAATAATATTTCATTTGGTAATTTTCTGGTAAGCATAATAAATTACAGTGTTGCATATTCATAAGGTCCTCAGGTCGAGCACAACGAATATTCATTATGAACAATTTTATCAGTCTTTTCTAGTCTTCCTAATTTTACTACGGCTCGTCTTCTCTTCAGCAATTGGTTCTCTTTGAGCACTTCTCAACAAATCTCTTATAAACTTAATGCGACGTAAGACAAATACCCATAAAATGTACCAACCTAGAAAGTATTTGAACAATAATAAAAGGCATTCTTAAAACCAGAAAGTTTGTTTATAAAAAAAAGATAATAATCCTGTCATCATATCGTCCCATTGCTGCCAAAAGTCACTAACTTACTTTTTATTACTTCCAAGAAAAATATGTCTAAGGATGAATTGCATTTCATAAAGATGTTATAGTTAGTAACTATTCGGTATTAAAATAAAACATAAATAGCCAGAAATCGTAGTTAATGACTTTTGCAATCGATTCACCGCTTCAAAACATAGTGATTGAATTTGGTTGTTCAGAAAAATGTTAGTTAGTGACTTTTGGCAGCAATAGGACGATATATTTATGATAGCTTCTATCATATATTTATGATAACAAGAATGTTATTTTGCTATAAAACTAATAATAAACTGCAAAAAAATCTGTAAAATTGTAAACAATATTCAAAAGAGATCAAAATAGTAGGATTAACCTTCAATTGAACGTCAATGCGATCTTACCTATTCCAACAAAAACTAGAACAATGCTAAGAGCTACAAGAAATGAAAAAACAGCCGAAAATAAGTCTTTCATTATTTTTCTACCCTAAAAACTACATTAAAAAAACTTAAGAAAAAAAATCTGGCAGTGACTTCACATTTAATAGCGCCATGTTGTTTGATAAAAATGTTCTTCTGAAAAGCTTTTGTTCTCTTATCAGCTATTTAATGAGTTAAACTAGTACATAATTGAGAATAACTTACCCACTCACCTTAAGATTTTTGAACGGATTTAGATTTCCACATGGAAACAAAATTTAATTTTCATTATTCTCAAAAATGTCAATTTGGAACATATTTGGAAAGGTTAAATACTTATTATAGGACATGGATAGGCAACTAAATATACAAGCATGAAAATAGGTGGTTTATTTATTTATTAAATGATAGACGAGTGAAGCTGTGATTAAAATTCAAGTACATTAGTTTTAAAAACAACTGCATGCCTGCATTTGTATTCCAACAAGGTCTATAGAAGTTATTATATTTTAAACCTTATTTTGAAATACTAGAATATTTTTGTGGTGGCAAGAATGGTGAAAAAATAAAGACCCACTTACAACCTTACAACACCCCAATAACCCGAAAACTGACAGTGACAGTTACCATCTTATTTTTGGGATGTTTTAGCTCAAATAAAAAGAAAAAATGATCTTTTGTGACCGATTTTAGAGTGTATCGATATTGAAAATAGTTGAGTTATGTCTACAAGATCACAACTCACCAAGGATTTAAACGGTAAGCGACATTTTTCATTTATAAAAATTGGAAATCTTTCTGTTTACAATTGTAAATGACGTCTTAAGAGGGGAGTGTCTTAAATATTTGAAAAAAAATGTGATTTTAACTGTTTTTATTGAAAAATTATTTTTCCACGTAGCTAGTATTAGCTGTAGCTTTTGTACAGATATCATTTCTTCTTAATTGTTCAATTATTTGTCATTGTATTGATATGATTCATTCATTGTGGTTTTCCATGTTAAAAAGATATGCTTCTGGGTATGCCCCGCAGTCTTTAGATTTGACCCACTGACACTAAATTTTTTATGCTAAATTACTTTAAATTGAACCTGAGTTGGTTAATAATGTGTGCTTGTTAATTTTTAGTTGAAAACACACAAAGAAAATAACTTGATTTGAATTTGTTTCTGTTAGTTGAGATATTATTTTTAAATGTTAAAACTATGAGTTTATGTTGTTCTAAAAAAGGTATAAAAGTTTTTTCGTATTTTTCAACGTTTTATTTGTACTTTATGCATTTATTGAGGCTATATGAAATAATTTTGGAATAATTACAGTTCTAATAATTTTTGTTCGAGTTAATACAAGATTAAATTATTTTTTAGAGAGTATTAAATCCTCAGTGGGCAACAAAGTCAAAATCCTCTTTAAAAATGTCGTTCGTTTGGAGACTAAGGGAGATAAGACTGAAAATAGGGTGCTGGTAAGATACTTTTATATTTAATATATGCTATATAAAGTTTATATCAATTTTGTTATAGTGTTTAATGTAGTCTATGTCAGAATCAATATATTGAACGTGTTTGAATTCGACCGCGAAAATTTAGGGTTTTTTTCATTTAATTTTTATCAGCTGTTTTAAATACAACTTGAGTGATTTATTGTCACTATATCTATTATCGTTTCTGTATGTGCCTAATAAAGATAGCTGATACTGTTTACCTGCTATCCAGCTATAGCAGTATTGTTGCCTTGAAAAAATAAAGGAAGAAGAGTTAAGACATTGACATTGACATTGTTGACGTTTTTAAATTGTCAAATTGTGTAGCTCAATTGATGTTTTGTGTTTTGTTATTTTAAAGACAATATTCTTTAATTTACTCTGGTATAATAGTAATTATTCAAAATGCCGAGAGCCGAAGTAGGAACGCCGAAGTACTTGGCAAACAAAATGAAGGCCAAAGGTCTTCAGAAACTACGCTGGTATTGCCAGATGTGTCAGAAACAATGCCGAGATGAAAACGGCTTTAAATGCCACACCATGAGCGAATCCCATCAGAGACAGCTCTTATTATTCGCAGACAACTCTAAAAGATACATTGATGACTTCTCTTTCGATTTTGCAAAAGGTTTTGTTAGCATATTAAAACGACAGTTTGGTAGTAAACGAGTTAATGCCAACCGAGTATATCAAGAATACATTTCTGATCGAGATCATGTTCACATGAACGGTACAAGGTGGGTCACTTTAACAGGCTTTGTGAAGTGGCTGGGCAAAACAGGACAGTGTGTTGTCGATGAAACTGAGAAAGGTAAGAATGTAAAGAGTTATATATTTATAATTTAAAGTATTAATTAATTATTCTTTAGGTTGGTTTATCACATATATTGATAGAAGTCCAGAGACAGTAGAAAAGGAAGAGAAAAAGAAAAAGAAATTAAAAATGGATAAGAATGATGAGGAAAGGACATTGGAGTTTATAGAAAAACAAGCCCAGGCCGCTTTGGAACAATCAGGTCCTCCTCCAGAGCCAGTTTATACAGAACTCATTAAAGAAAATGAAGAGGAACCACTAAAATTGGAAATTAATCTAAAAAACGAGAAGAAATTTATACCAAATGGTGTCCCTTTGGACAAAGTGTTTAAGAGACCCAGTAGTACCACAAGCATTACAGCAAAGAAAATAAAAACAGAACCTAAAACTGAAGTAAAAAAGAAATCTGCCCTAGACGAAATCAGAGAATCAGAAGAAATTAAGAAAGAGAAAGAAAATCGGAAAGATTACTGGCTAACTGAAGGCATAATAGTCAAAGTTATTACAAAAACTCTAGGAGAGGAATTCTACAAACAAAAAGGAATAGTGCGCGAAGTTATAGACAAATATGGAGCAATAATAAAGTTATTAGATACAGGAAAAAAACTGAAACTTGATCAGAAGCATCTAGAGACTGTTATACCAGCCATAGGAAAATTAGTTAAAGTTGTTAATGGGGCGTACAGGGGTGAAATTGCTTCGTTACTTAATTTAGATGAAAGAAACTTTTGTGTTAGTATTGAAATTGAGAAGGGTTTGCTAAAGGGACGCAGGGTTGATGGAGTTCAGTATGAGGACATTTGTAAATTACCTGAAGATTAAGGGGGAAACGTGTAAATAATGACGTTTAGTAAATAATTAATATTTAATTTAGAATAATGTCAACAAATGGATGTGTAATGTTTATATATATTCTCAGGGAATGTTTCCCATAAATGTATGTATAGCAATGATATATAAATGTTATCATAGGATATTGATTGTTTTAAGACAAAAAATTCTATTTGTATATAATGTAAATAAAACTTTTGGTAATAAATGGATTTTTGGTATCTTGAACTTGGTTATCCCCAATTTTGTAATTACCTATACCTTAGTTTATACATGGTGTTACAAATTCGAGGTACGAGTAATAGATACGAAGAAAGTTAAATTGGGGCAAAGTTGCTCCTTGGGATGTTCACTAAGATGCCATCAAAAAAGCTGTAAAAATTTCAAGGATTGCTGAGTTTTTTGGTAAAAACGGATTTTTTTCTTGTCGTTATTGCCTCCTTGGGATGTTCACTAAGATGCCATCAAAAAAGCTGTAAAAATTTCAAGGATTGCTGAGTTTTTTGGTAAAAACGGATTTTTTTCCTGTCGTTACTTTTTTGAAAATCAAAAAACTAATTGCACATTCTCCTAGCCAATTTATTAGGGCTATCTGATAGTATTTTAACATTTTCAAATTAGTTGATAATTTGTAAGATACAGAAGCCAACTTAATTTTTTTAAATAAGAACCTGCACTTTTTATTTCAAGTTTTGAACGAATTCGGTCTTCTGAGTTTATTTCCAGTTTTGAACGAACTCGGTCTTCTAAGTATAATGATATGACACACTTGATACCTTTTTTTTTTGTTTTGGGTACCTTAACAATAACAAAACTATTTATAATTTCAAGTCCGACTGTGGTTTTTTAAATTATTTAAACTGATTATATTCATCGCAACAATATTGATCAGCGCTAATTTACATTGAATAAGAAAAATCGAGCCATTTGAAAGATTCAAATAAAAAATGCCCAGATCAGCAGTTTAAAGATATTCTTTTTAACTCTTTCTATTGTGAATTTGAAATATCAATATCTAATGTAATAATATGCATAATATTAATCGTAGTAATTATAAAAAAATCACCTTTCACAAACTAGTTTCTAATGCTCTACATGTTCGAATGGATTACCACGCTCCCTAATGCACAAATTTATTTTTCGTTCAATCTTATTTATAGCTGTTAAACATATCTTCTTCTTCTTTCTTATACTTCCGAATGTATTTTGTACTCTTTATTGTAAATGTTGAAATGTATGGATTTCACTTTTACAAATGGCATCTTGGTGAACATGCCAAGGCGCAACTTTGCCCCAATTTAACCAACTTCGTCTCTATTACGGTTTTCGAGATACCAGTGCTTGTACCTCGAATTTGTAGCACCCTGTATAGATATAAATATAAACAAGGAATTTTACTTATTAACATAATAACTTTAAATCAATGAATTAAAATGGGTGAGTTGATTTTTTTAATCACTTTTATTATTGCTTTAGTAGATGAAGGATTCAGTCTTTTTATAAAGTACCAGCGATTTCGTTCGCGTCGAATTAATCATTTGTAATGGTGATGATAAAGCAAAGCAAGAATTTCCATTAGCATACAAACTGGATAAAATTTTCTCACATTTATGTCAGCATGAAAAAAAAAACAATATGGCGATATTATTATATAACTTGGTAATATTTGAGGGGTAGTTTCATCCTGTTGGAATTTGACTTTCGAAAAACCCGTTTGCCAAAAATAAGCTTTTTACGTCAAGCAGTTTAAGCAGAATCGTGGTTAAGAAATTATCCAACTTTTTGGAACATCCTGTATGATTTTTTAAAAAATTTCAAAATATGTAAAAAAAAAACAACTAAATTATGCTTGTCCAAGCGTTTTCCCGAAAGACTAACCGTTTTTTAAATAACCAATATTGTAATATTTGAGGGGCGTTTTCGCCCTCTTGGAATTTGAGATTCGAGAAACCCCTCCTTATCGAACCTCTACACCCCACAGTCAATCCGTTTGCCAAAAATCAGCTTTAAACGTCAAGCAGTTTAAGAAGGATTGTGATACGTGGTACTCAATGGTCATATTTTATGAAACACCCTGTATAAATTTATAAAAAAATCTTAAAATATGTAAAACAACAAAATAAAATATACGTGTTTAAGCGTTTTTCCGAAAAACTCACCGGTTTTTAAATAAAAATATTTTAATATTTGAGGGATAGTTTCACCCCCTTAGAATTCGAGTTTCGAAAAATCCCTTCTTATCGAACCTCTACACCCTAAAGTCAATCTGTTTTCCAAAAATCAGCTTTTTACGTCAAGCGCTTTAAGCAGGATCGTGATTAATCAATGACCATTTTGATTTTTCGAAACACCCTGTATACATTTTTAAAAAATCTTAAAATATTTAAAAAAACAAAAGAAAATATACGTGTTTAAGCGTTTTTTCCGAAACTTGACCGTTTTTTAAATAAAAAATATAGTAATGTTTGAGGGGTGGTTTCACCCTCTTGGAACTGGAATTTCGAAAAATCCCTTCTTATCGAACATCTACACCCTAGAATCAACCTGTCTGCCAAAATTGAGCGACGTCTGCCAAGTTGAGTGGTTTGAGCAAGATCGTGATTAATCAGTATGTCAGTCACTTAAAGGCGCGTCCAAGCTACTCGAACAAAATGTTCGCGAACATATATAATTAAACAGATACTAAGTGAAAATTGTGAGATAGGTAGATTTATGAATAATAAAGCCAACAAGTACAGCTAGCCTAGGCCTATTAAGGAGCGCGGAGCGCCGAAAGGCTAGCTTGTACGCCAGAGCGTGCGTCTGCCTATGCTAGAGCGCGCGCGTTCTTTTTCCGACGGGTGTCGGTAAATCAAAAGGAACGAACGGCGTGCATTTCGGCGGACATTGTACCGCACACTTGGAAGGGTTTCATTTAATTTCGGTCGTCCATCTGTGATTTTTATTTTTTACCGAGTATTCGACAATGGGAGACGCAGTTATTGACTGGGATCGTGAAAAACATTTACATCTAATTTGTTTACACAAAGAAAAGATTTTATAATGTTAATTTTATTGTGGGTTGAGTGTGAATAGCTATGTAGCTAGACTTCGTCCATATAATTTCATTGTTAATACAGACCTTTATGATTATTCTTATTAAAAACCGGAATTATTATGGGATTCTGAAATTAAAAATTACCACTTAATAGGAAGTTTGACACCGGAAATGAAATTTTACCATTACATTTTTAGAAATTAATATACCGGGTGTTTCTGAAAAGTGGTTTACTTCTATAACTTTTTTAATTTTTTAGATAAAACACGAGATTTGGTATGTTAGTATAGGACATAAATCAGGATTGATCGACGTTTTCATTTATTTTCGGTCACTACCTATTTCACCGGAAATGACAACAAGTTTTGATTTAAATGGTACCCTCGGTATTTTTTTACCGTATATGATAGAAAAGGACATTCTAAATAGAATGATATATTATAGGCCAACTTTTGACATTTTCAATTTAAAAATGGCCATAAATAAACGTAACGACAATTTTACTCCAAATACCAAGTATGTGGTACCAAATTATTCGTAAAAAATGCTTTTTCCAAATATGCTGAGCCAGCCTCGTACCATTTGAAAAATTTGAGTTATCATTAAAAATACGATTTGGGCATCTTTTAAGCGGCCATGAAAGGATACGAAAAAAAATTACACGATCAAATATATGTTTCCAAAGTTCTTTGATTACAATTTTTTTTTGATTATAAATAGTTTTAACTCAGACTTGGCACTCTAGATTGAAATTTAAAATGCTATTTTTATTTAATTGGAATTGTCTAAAATTGACGTATGGTATGTCATTCTATTCAGAATGTCATTTTCTATCAAATAAAGTAAAAAAGTAGTTAGGATACAATTAAAAAATACAAAGTTGTAGTCATTTCGGTTAAACAGGAAGCGACCGAAGGTAATTGAATACGTCAATCAATCCCGATTTATGTCATATACTAACAAACCAAATTTCGTTGTATTATCTGAAAAAATAAAAAAGTAAAAAAGTGAGCCCCTTTTGAGAAACACCTGATAGAATCGGCTGAAAATGAATACAGGTCTTAAAAATACACTATAACGAATAATCTAACAAAAAACCCTGTGACCCTCCGCTTGCTAAATATTGATTCTTCAACGACAAAAGTTCTTAAACTGTTTACCGGTTAATTTATTTAATAAAATTCTTGCACTCGAAATCCGGGCACTCGAAAAAACAGCGACTACCTAAACGCATCCTAGATCTATAGAGCAAACTGGTTGTCGCATTCTTCCCCGCACCTCAGTCCTCGGAACCGATGCGATGGGCTGTGCCGTCGTTTACGACCTGCTGCTACGAGTATATAGTGTGAATTATATATGTTCGCGAACGTTTTGTTCGAGTAGCTTGGACGCGGCTTAAGGATTTTATATATTAGTATAGATTTCTTATAAGAAATGTTTGCCATCTTGATTTTTACGATTAACGTTAGTTTGTAGAGATTCCCTTCTGCTACAATATTTTTTCGTAGCTACAGGGTGTTAGTCATCATTTTTCTTATTAAATTTTCTTTTAAGTGCTTTTAGCGAAAAAAAGTGTCGACACCAGGGACGTGCATGTGGGTTATCACTGGAATATTTTTTATCAAACAAAGATACACCACCGACTTTCTTCTCTTGTTAGCAAAATTGTGTAAGTCGTTTTGCCAGTTAAAAGCTGCCTCTTGATATTTTGTCGATTTAGATCTCCTTGATGATATAAATGCAATTTTATTAATTTGCTTTATTGCAAGTCTAATAGCAACCTATAAAATTTTTAATGTTATTAACTGGCCAAAGTGTTAAATCAGTACTCATTGATTTCCCAACAAAAAATATGAAAAAAGTTCTTATAAACATGACTAAACGCATAGTTACGGTAAAACAATGCATAGTTTTAAAGTTACGGGATGCTAAAACTTTGGTTACAGAATGTTAAAATATAGGGTTGTTGTAATTATCTTAAATACCATTTTTTTTAAGTTGCTGTAGGTAGCCACTGTACCATCAGTTTTATAGATTTTAAGAATAAATTAGATTAAATAAATAATTTATTATTCTTCTTCTTTGCGGGCCATCTCTTTCGTGGAGGTTGGCGATCACATTGGCAAAATCTTCACGATTCTCGGCTTGCCTTATGAGCTTCAAAAGTTAGGTGAGTCCAATTTCTGATGTTTCTCAACCAAGATAGTTTCTTCCTGCCGATACTTCTTTTTTCTACAGTTTTACCCTTAACTATTAATTGTATGACGTGGTATTTTTCATTTCTCAATATATGCCAGAAGTATGATGTTTTTCTTATTTTTATTATATTGAGCAATTCTATTTCTATGCCTATTCTGTTGTGACCTCGGTATTTGTGATATGGGCTGTCCATGAGTCCATGGAATTTTAAGCATTCATATCGAAGAATCTATTCTATATATAATTTATTATTAAATTTTATTAATTATTGTAATTAATAAAATTGCGTTTATTTCCTCAAGGAGATCGAAATCGACAAAAGATCCTCATACAACTTTTAATCGACATTAAACGGCCTACATACACATACATACTGCCATTACTCGCTGACGAGTATTCGACACGCATCAAAAGATGGTCACGCAAGGCGTTTGCTTTCATGAGCTTTTCTGTGACTGATAAGCCCGATACGTGATGTTATTTGCCTACCGCACTCCGGACATTCAAAAATCTCATTGCTTTGTTGCCTCTTTACTTTTTGGTTGTCGCTGTTAACTGAGTTTACAGTTCTTCTCCATTGAGTTCTATTGTGAACTGCTTCATCCCAATGATTCTGCATGTTAATCTCCTTTAAGTTTTCGTGGAAAATGTCCTTGTACCTTTTGAGTTGTCCACCCGGCCTCCTCTTACCGTCTACAAACTCACCGTACAGCAGAGATGTTGGTATGCGGTTTTCTTGCATTATGCATACGTGACCAGCCCATCTTAAGCGGGATTTTGTAACCATGACTTCAATACTCTCGCAGTTTGCTTTTTCAAGGACCGATACGTTTGAGACATGATGGAACCACCGGATTCTTAAGAGTTGTCTAAGGTGTCTCTGTTGCAACTTTTTTAATGCGTTCATGTGTCGACGGTACGGCACCCAGGTTTCGCTCCCATATAACATGGTGGGGATTATAATTGCTCGGTACACTGCAAGTTTCGTTTTTGTACTGAAGTCATGATTGTAGAAAACCCTGTCTTTTAATTTCCAGAATGTTCTTGAGGCGCTGCTAATCCTGTGTTGAATTTCAGAGTCGATATTGGCCTTTTCCGAAATCAAACTGCCGAGGTAATTAAATTCCGCTACATATTCCAATAATTCTTCTCCGATTTTTATAGCATTGTTATGATCTTCCGGGGAAGTGCACATAATTTTGGTTTTGTCAATGTTTAGCTTACGGCCCAAAGCCTCGTATGCCCAGGTATCTTACCAGGTATATTTACTTTTTCCTATAGTTGGCGGATGGAAAATATGGAATCGACGGTGCTACACAGTCCTAAACGGCCTACACAATTTTGCTAACGAGAGAAAAAAGTCAGTGGTATACATTTTTTGTTTAGAAAAATATTTCAGTGATAACCCATATTGTCATGTTATAACCAAACCAAACCTCCCTGGTGAATCTGTCGACACTTTTTTATCATTAAAATATGTAGCACTTACAGTAAATTTTACTCCCAAAATTTCATTCCAGTCGTTAAAAGCACCAAGAAGAAAATTGAAATAAATCTAACTTAACATCCTGTAGTTACGAGACAAAGCAGAATCGGACCTATGTTGATATAAAAAATTAATCTTATTTTTACGTGAGCAAGCTTCCCACGAGAGATGGCACATGTTTTTTAAAATACCCTGTATATTAGTAAAATTAATAAAAATATAGATAACCAGATAGCCACGCGATTTTTTAAAATTTCTAAGATTGCAATAGACCACGCAAAACAATACGATTAATAATAGGCCTCTTGCACATACTTTAATTTTCACCTGAAAACTACTTAAAGACCTTCATAAATACAACACATAGCACCCCCACGATGTTATTTCCAAAGAGAATTGCAAATTATTCCATAATTTCGATTATAAACTTCACCCGGGACCTTTAAATTTGACGTCACACGAAAACGTTACACCATTGTTTGTGACGTCACGAGGTACGATTTCGGTAAGGCAGTTTATATAAACGTATAAAGTCTGCCGTTCTACTGGAGTGCTCTGAAATATTCGGAAATTTCAGCAACAAAAAAGCAAAGAACTACTTATCAAAACTCACAGGTGCAACTAAGTAAAACTCAAAATCACGAAACAAAACCTGAGTAGACAGCAGACTTTATTCGCTAAATCATTTTACTGCCATTTTACCAAAGTCTATATTACACTTTACGTTGTTCATAGGTACTATTAGTAATAATACACAAATGTTAATACGTCGGTGAATATACAGGGTGCTACAAATTCGAGGTACGAGCATTGGTATCTCAGTAACCGTAATAGATACGAACATGGTTAAATTGGGTCAAAGTTGCATTTTGGGATCTAAATTATTAAATGTTATGGTTTGGTTTGGTTTGGCTGCGCCCCCCAACATCATATAGGGACCCCATAACCTAAACATATTTTCGCATTCGCCAAGATTTTATCATTATGTCTAGATTAAAAATATATTATTTAATTATAAGCGCATTCACCATTATGTCTAGATTGACTAATATTAAAATATTTTATTAACGCATTCGCCATTTGTCAAGATATTACCATTTTGTCAAGATTTAATAATTTATCAAAATTAAAAATGTTTCGCGCATTCGTCATTTTGTCTAGAATGAATAATTGATAAAAAAAAATAAAAAATATATCTATACACATTTACCATTTTGTTAATATTAACGCATTTATACCATTATATCGAGATTAAAAATATTTGTTTACTATATACATAGCTGGCTTGTTTCCATTCAGCAGCTGTTTAGTACACCATAGTATAGTACTGTAGGTTTTACTAAAAATATGTCTTTCGATAAACACCAATGGTAACACCCTATCAAAGGTACATATACGAATTTACTGAAATAACTTAAACAAAACACACGTAAAGCTTAAAATATGTACTCACCAGGGTTTGGATTGGTTTGGTGCTATTATTATGTGCAATTTTTTTTTTTTTTCACTCTTGGTGGTATATTCTGACAGACGGGTGTTCATTACCAAGTACTGTCAGAGTTTCTATTGTTTTAAGAAGGAGCGGATTATGTTTGTGGTTTTAATGATTACTGCTTTTTGAGCAAGTGTGTGAATATGACCTTTTAAATTTAAAATATCGAGGTTTTCTTTAAATTTCCTGTGTGTGAGGCCCGTGCTAGATATAATAAATGGTAGGATTTTAACTTCTTTTTGTTGCCATATTCGTTCTACTTCCTGTGTTAGTGGAATGTATTTGCTAATTTTTTCTTCATATTTCTTTGTTATGTTGTTGTCATTCGGAACACTGATTTCTATTAGATATGTTACTTTCTCTTTTTTTAGTGTTAACGTTATATCAGGTCTATTGCATGTTACTGTCTTGTCAGTATGGATCGTTCTGTCCCAGTCGAGTTTTATAGTGTCGTTTTCAAAGACAGATTGCGGCGTGTATTTGTAATAGGGCTGTTCTTCTTGTATAAATTTATATGTTTTTGCTATTTCTTGATGTATAATACGCGCAACAAAGTCATGCCTTAGAGTGTATTCTGTACCAGTGAGTATTTTACAACCATTTGTAATATGCTCTATTGTTGTCTATTGTGCTATTATTATTATTATCCATTTAACACACGAAAATCATTCTTCGATATCATATTCAAACGCTAACGGGTCAATGGTCAATAGAGATAACAAATGTGTAACTGATAACGTTTATAATTAGTATGAATAAATATGTCGTCGAGTCAACATGTATATTATTATGTTGTATATTCACCTAAAATATTTAAAAAGGAATTTATTGATCAAATAGTTAGAGAATTCAATGTAGTGTTAGAAATTAGAGAGTATGGTGTAAATAAGAGGCATGAACATTCAAATATGGTTATAAGAGATGATAGAACATTGGCGGCAATGCGTATGTATTTTACTAGAAGGACAAGTACTAAACACGAGGTGAAGGTTAAAAGAGTCAAAGATATAGCTAATGTAGTGACGTACTGCACAAAAGAAGCTGACCATAAGTACCAGGTAAGAAAAAGGAGAATTATACCTTTTTAAATTTTTAAAACGATTAATTGACAGGTAAACATATATGAGTTGGAGAAGACAATAGAAGAGTATCAACAAGAAGGACAGAAGAATAAGAGCGAGTCAGAACTAGTGGGAAGATTTAAGATGTATGAATGTATTAAATTCTGTCAATGGTATTTGGATAGCGATGTGATAGAGATAAGGGAGCATCCATATTTGAATGACGCGGTCCCACTGACGTTGGAAGATTGCACGCGCAACGAGTTTAAAATAAATTGGCTGTTGAATTATTATGTGCGCGCCACCGGCCAGTACATCTATCCGAGCATGCGCACCACCGTTGTTCAGAATCTTGTGCCGCTCGTAGAGCGACTTCGGGTTTTCCGATCGGGCCCGATGTTACCCGATCGCGTGCGTTCCTCCCCTTGGTTATAACGAAAGGGAGAACCACAAATGGTGCAATGCTGTGGTGCAATGTGTATCCGACACACAAGCCGAAGCTACATCAGAAATCTTCCAGCCACACATGGTACTAGATTGTTGTACCTTTGAGGACAGACTCGTCTCCACAGTTCTAGGCGCGTGTGCAGTATAATTCTGTTTAGTGATGTAACTGTGATTTAACTGTTACTGTGATGTAATCGTTGTTGCAGACCGAATCGATCGATTTATAATTTGTAATATGATAGAATAAGAACTTTTTTGCTAGTTTTAATTTTTTAAAGTTTTCCAACACTAAATAATATCAAATATTTTTTTAATTTTTAGTATGTTTTAAAGTGGGATAATAACTATATTCGATTATTTTTAAATGTAAAACTGAAACATTGTATTAATGTTTTTAAATAAAATAAATCGGTTCATATATTTCAGCGTTTTTCAAAATTTGAGCTACTTGAGAAAAAATGGTGCAAAACTATGACTTGTCCAACGGGATGATCCCTGACAGTTGTGTCTGTCATTTTAATTCATAGACAAATTTCATTGTTTGTCATTTTTTGGATGTCCTGTGTCGAAATCTTCCCTAGTCGCTGGATGGACTGTATTAGGCATCGTTTATGAATGGATTTCACAAAGTTCTACTCTCAATCTTTCGTAAATAGGCTATGAGAATGAACAAATTTATATTAGAATTGATATTGTTTTGTCGAATATGATGCGTAAAACTTGGTATTAATGTGGATAGTTTTCGATTTGATATAATGAAACACGTTTTTTTGTCGTTTTTCAAAATTAAGCCAGTTATAAAAAAATGTAGGTAAAATGATGAGGCAAAATGTATAAGTAAATTAACGTACATATATATGAACAAAATCACTGAAAACTTGGATAGCATGCTCTTCGATAGAATTATTCACCCATATGTATCTCCTTTTTTTCAAAATTCAACTCTTTGGCATTTAGTAAAAGAATAAGATACCTACTATAGATTATTTTGAATTTTCCTTACGATCTTTTGTAAATTTTTAACTGTTATGAATGTAAATTGTAATGTCTTGTGGCAAGATAGTGAATGGATAATCAATGGATTAATCATTGGACATTTATATGTAAACGTGTAATAGTCATATGAATAATCTTTTTAAACATGCCAGGTTAAAGGAAGCTCATAATATGTTTATTGCTTTCAAGTTAGCCATGCAGTTGGTCATATTGTTCAATTTACATATATAAAATTTGATTAATACATACTAAAACTAGACTGAAACCATATTATTTATTTAAAAAAGTTACAGCCAGTAAAAAGTGGCACAAAATAAAATGGTAACACTATACACTATGTAAATATCTTGACAAAATGTAAACATTTATTGCTAATATAATTAAAAAAGCTGTTTTTTGTCAACTTATTAAGGGTTGTTGTGTATTCACTAAACCAGCACAGGCGATAGTTATAGTATAGTCTAATTGAGAAATCAAGTTAATGTGGAGCACGCATAATGTTTTAACACTTCAAACTCTCTTAAACGCCTTATAACTCTTTCGATATGGATTCTTAGACTTAAGACTTGATATCGCTTCTACGATGCCTGTCCTATAAAGGATTTCTTCGAGGATTTCTTGTTTTATGGGTAAATCATATGTTGTAGTACTGGCTTCACACAAAACAACTTGAATAATACTTTGACTTGGCCTCTAAATAGCACTCATTCGAGCAGGTTGGAGATAAGTCTGTTTTCTATCTTGGTGACAAGCAAAAATTTATGGGGAACTACATTTTTTTCATTTGCCTTTGAACACACATCATTTTCCATTCCATATAATTTGCCATATTTTGTTTCAACTAGAAAAAATGTACTATTTATAAACTCCATAAAAATAAAAGTGAGGTTAGTTCAACACCATGATAAATAAACGGAAGATAAGATATAAGATATTACGCATGTAGTAGACGGAGCTTAACAGAAAATTACTACCCGGGTGACGTCATGCGCGCGGAAAGCCGATTTGCGACCGCCAAGGATCTTATCTTTTGTTCATTGTATCATGGCTCAACATATATTCCTTAATTTCCTACTGTTTTATATTTGTATTTCTCAAGTAACTCAAAAATAAATCTGTAATTTAACTATGCTTTTCAAATTTAAAAAAAATACATTAAATGGCCTTCAATAAATACATCAAATATGGCTTCTAGAGCCAGATTTTTCGCTGTTTCTCTTCGATAGGCCACTGTTAAATTTTTTTCCAGTAGTGGAAAATATCGTACTTTTGCAACCTGGTACCATACAGTATCGATCATTTTGCATTCGTAAATTAGTGAAAAACCTCGCTGAAAATCGTAACTCAATAGAATGTCAAAACAAAAAAGTCACAGAACATACTAAAATAGTACCTCGTGACGTCACTATCGTAAGCGCGGTCAAAGCCAACGTATTAGCGGGCTTTTCATCAATTTGAATTTTAGCCAGATAATTTTAAAAATATTTTACAGAGGTGCTTTTGGTGTCTAAATGATCATTTTCAGACAATAAAAAAATACCCAAGGGGCCCATTGCAGGCAAGAAACAATTGCCAAATTTTCTATTCCTTGTGTATTTTTTTACATTTTCTGGTCCTCACTCTTAATTTTAAATAAATAAAATGTGTCAAAATTTTAACCGGCTACTTTTATTTCTTCAAAAACTCTAACGCCATTGGGCTATTTTAAACCACATTTTCTGAAATTTCCAGGTATTTTCGCCGTATCGAATCCTGCTGCTCACGGCTAAAGTCCCGACAAAGGTAAAGGAATAACAAAATTATGAGAGTATGAACTATTAACGAATTTCAATTATTATTTCAGGTCGACTGTCACTTCCATTATCTCGAAATCCAAGCCCTGGAGAGCAAAAGAGGAAACCATCTGAGCCTTACGATCAACGACAAGGTTTACTCGTTTTTGACTGGTGAAGATTCGACATGCAGTACAGAGGTGGACAATATGATAGGCGCTTTGAACAACGCAATTAGAAATATATTTCCTACGATGCCATTACAACATATTATTAGAAAGGTATAGAGTTAGCTTTGCAGGGTTTCTTAAAGTGGAGTTTGCTATTTGCTTTGAATAAAAAGATTAAGGAAGGAGCATATCAAAAATCTTAGATCGAACGCGAAGGGCACCTAAAATTCCGGTGTATGAGTGCCGTTCTAATTTTATTCAAAACGTGTAAAACTCGGTAAAAATATGATGTAGGGTAGACTCAATAATTTGTTGTTTTATTTTACGTTGCGAATAAATGTTAGCAGTTATTAAAATTGTTATAAAAGTATATAATTCTGATAAAAATAGATAAGTTATAATAACTAATTATTAACACACACATACGATACGCTAGTGAAGCAATCTTTGACAAGTGGTAAATAAAAGCAAAAATGCAAGAAAAAATATAATTATATATTTTTTCTAACTAATTATTAACACACACATCCGATACGCTACTGAAACAATCTTTGACAAGTGATACAAGCAAAAATACAAGAAAAAATATAATTATATATTTTTTCTTGCTTTATAAAAGCAAAAATACAAGAAAAAATATAATTATATAAATATTTTTTCTTGCATTTTTGCTTTTATTTACCACTTGTCAAAGATTGCTTCAGTAGCGTATCGGATGTGTGTGTTAATAATTAGTTATTATAACTTATCTATTTTTATTACTAATTAGTTAATTTTGCATATCTATTACTAATTAGTTAATTTTAAGTGAATTTCATAAATGGTCAGATTGCTACAAGTGTGTATATTATACAGGGTGAGTTTCCTACGATGTTCTCTATGGGTATCCCGGAAACTACTGGAGATAGAGAGTCGGTTAAATGGGGAAAGAATTGCAGTTTTGTGGGGTCATAAATATGCACCTTTCAGATTTTTGATAAAGTTCATGCCTTACTAGATATTTTCAAAAAAAAAAAAATTTTGGCTATTTTAAAAATTGTCCCTAAACATTATAATATATTTTAGACAAAAGTTTTCAGATAAAAGTTGTAGATAATTACATCCCTAATGAGTTTGTGCTCTCCGTTTTTTTCTAAAGCCTGTCGTTTTTGACGTATGACACAAACATATGTTTTTTTAAATGGAAACCATAGTTGGCCATGACTTCATAAAAAAGCGCCATTTAGTTATGAGTTTGTTATTGAGTTAGTCATTGAGTTATAGCCAATTCTTATCTTTCTTGATTAATTTCACTTAGTTAGCCATGGAAACAAGTTCAATCGTCGTTGCTCTCAGAAATATGAAACTGTCACATCCACACTCTGTAAATTAAAATAAACAAAAATTGTAAATATGAATTTTTCAAATGAAGAAAAGCGTGTAGGATTATTCGAGTACAGTTTCGAGGATACGTTGACCGGTGTACGTTACTTACGTTTTTTAGAGAACGGTTTTCAAAGACATGTTAAGCGGCCCATACATTATCAAACAAATTGCGCAACGAAGCGATGCGCAACGTGGCGTTGCACAACTGATTCAGCGGTCCATACACTATCAAGCAAGTTGCGCGACAAGGCGATGCGCAACGTTCCGTTGCACAACTGCCTCACCCATGCACTTAGTAAAATTTTGATCAAACTGTTTATTAAAAGTTGTGCATTGTTTGAGAAACAATCATGTCCTCAATTGCCATTGCGTCAATTATTATCGTATATACCCTAGATGATGTCGATGATACCAAAAAACGAAAAAGAAAACAAAGAATTTGTGGATGAAAGAACTAAAATATTGCACAACGAAGCGCAACACACACATACACTACACAACGCGTTGCGCAAACAGTCCTGTTGCACAAAAGAATTCAAACATTCTTGAAACTCATCAAACAATTGCGCAACGCATCAAACACTACCATACATTGGCAACTCGTTGCGCAACGGTCTGCGTTGCGCAATTTGTTTGATAATGTATGGGCCGCTTTAGAAAAGTTAAATTTAGATACTCGCGCATTAATAGAGTGGTTCTAACATGACTTTTATTATGACACACCACCCCCCTCCTCCCCCACAATGAAAGAAATGTTAAAAATTATTTATATCATAATGATGTAGACTCAGGGATAGAAAGGGGTGGACCAATTGCATGGGTTTCTTCGATCACCTGACCTATCCATTTTAGATTTTTTTTTATGCGGTATGGTTAACAACACGGTTTACAAAAGAACTTATGAATTAAGAGAGGGGGATGATCCTCCAGGCGGCTGATGCAGAATCGGCCATCTCCCTCTACTGCACTCGAAGAGGCGGTACAGGAGAAGTTTAATTAAATCGACTGATCGTTCTGTGAGAATAGCTAGAAATGGCGGATTTTTTTAACATTTTCTAAAATAACTTAAAGTTTATGTAGTGATATTATTTTTTAAGTTTTAGTTTGTGTAATGTAAATTGTAAGGAGCCGTTTAATAATATATTTTGTCTTTTTATAAGATATAAATCATAACAAAATAAGAACACCATGGCAACTAAGTGAAATTAGTCAAGAAAGATAAGAAAAATAACTCTTTTTTTGAAAAAAAAAACATATTATAGCTTATATCGCTGAAAAGCTTAAAAAATGGCGCTTTTTATGAAGTCATAACGGCCAACTATGGTTTCTATTTAAAAAAAACATATGTTTGTGCCATATGTCAAAAATGACACGCTTTAAAAAAAATTGGAATACGCAAACTCATTAGGGATGTGATTATCTACAACTTTTATTTGAAAACTTTTTGTCTAAAATAGATTATAATGGAATTAGGGACAATTTTTAAAACAGCCAAAATTTGTTTTTTTGAAAATATCTAGTAAGTCATAAACTTTTTCAAAAATCTGAAAGGCGCATATTTATAACCCCACAAAACTGCAATTCTTTCCCCATTTAACCGACTCTCTATCTCCAGTAGTTTCCGAGATACCCATAGAGAACATCGTAGGAAACTCACCCTGTATAGTCACTTACTAGCGAAGTTATTCCATTATTTCCCTCGATTTTTGCCCGAGATCTACCGCACGCTACACAACCAACTATTTTACAGTTTTTTTCGATAAATCGCAATAGTGTTACTGTTAATTTAAGTTCCGCCACAATTTCCTTCTAGATTTACTACCTTTAAACGACTATCAGTAGTAGAATAAATAACATAAAATAAGCCCATCAAAGACTGACAAATCCACAAAATTTGTTATTTGTCCCCTAGAGTAGGGATATTTGACAGAACTATCAAATATCCCCACTCTAGGGCCCTCTCTCCGTCTACCATGCTTGAATACATGGATAGCATTATACTCCTTTCTTAATATTTTTATTCAAAGGCTATTTGATATGATACATCATGATTTGGATTGTACCATGATATCATGGTACAATCCAAAATGCGACCAAGTAAGACCCGCGCAGCGTCAAAGTGTATTTGTATTAGATTCAAGTACAGGGTGTCCCACTAAGAATAGCTCTCGGCTGTATCTCGGAAAGTATTAGTCGTAGAGCTTGCGGAAAAAAATATATTTAACTAAAAAGAGCATGAGAAATTGCTGGAAATTATTTTCAAGTTTGTAGAGCGGCCGCTAGAGGGCGCAACTGCTATTAAAAATAAGAAAAAGGAGTTTTTACACAATTTTGCCTAGATAACGGATACTATAAATAATAGATTCATAATCTTCAGTAATTTTTGCATATTTTTTGCTAGAACCATTTTCCCCTATCTGCTAAAATAAAGTAGTGGGGGAATGTTAGATCTGTTTTTATTTAAATGTTAATAACTCCGGACTGGTTGATCGGAATTCAACAAGTGAGGGCTCGTTTAAAAGAGCCTTTCTTACTCTATATTATACCATATGAACAATAAAAATAAGCTTTTGACCGTAGACGATAGGGGGCGCTGTCTTACAATTTAACAAACATTACGCGTTTCTTCGAAAAAGTTAAATGCGATAGTATATATAATTTTAGCTCATACTAAAGAGTAATAAAAGTTTAAAAATTCAGCGAAAACCGCATCTTTTTCAAACCAAAGTTATTAGCAAAATTATAATACGAAAAAATAAGACCTTAATTACCTTATCTCTCTAACATAGTATCCCTAGCCCTCTGTTATGACCATTCTAATAAAAAATAAGATAGAAAAGAGTATTTCATTCAAAAAATCGACAATGTACCAGAATACCGTAATCCTAGGTGTATTAATATCTAATAATTAAGATATCAATGAAAGTGACTAAGAAACGACGTCTCAGTGAATTCATGGTAGGCTTTGGAAAAAAGTTGCTTTTAAAGAGATAGTTTAAATTCAAAATATTATTATATCAACAATTTGATAGTCTCAGCAGCGTTTTTTATCTTTTGATTGCTTTTCTAAAAATGACTTTCTTCAAAAGAAAAACACACTGCTAAGACTATCAAAATGTTGATTTAATAACTCTTTGGCGCTTATCCTATTACGTCAAAAGCATATTTTTTCCAAAGCCTATCATGACTTCACTGAGGCGTCGTTTCTTATTCACTGTCATTGATATCTTAATTATTAGATATTAATACATCTGGTTTTATCGTATTCTGGTATATTGTCGATTTTAGAATAAAGCAATCGTTTCTATCTTATTTTTTATTAGAATGGTCATAATGAAGATGGCTACTGTAACCGTGTTAAAAAAATATGATAATTAAGGGCCTATTTTTTCGTATTTATTATAATTTTGCTAATATCTTCGGTTTGAAAGAGGATATCAAGATGCGGCTTTCGCTGACTTTTTAAGCTTTTATTACTCTTTACTATCAGCTAAAATTATGTATACTATCGCATTTATTTTTTTTTGAAAAAACGCGCAATGTTTTTTAAATTGTAAGACAGCGCCTCCTAGCGTCTACATTCAAAAGCTTATTATTATTGTTTATACGCTATAATATAGAGTAAGAAACGCTCTTTTAAACGAGCTCCCGTTTGTTAGATTCCGTCCATCCAGTCCGGAGTTATTAATGTTTAAATAGAAATAGATCTAATCTTCCCCCACCACTTTATTTTGGCAGATAGGAGAAAATGGTTCTAACAAAAAATATGCAAAATTTACTGAAGATTATGAATCTATTACTTATAGTATCCGTTATCTAGGCAAAATTGTGTAAAAACTCTTTTTCTTATTTTTAATAACAGTTCGCCCTCTAGAGGCCGCTATACAAATTTGAAAATAATTTTCAGCAATTTCTCGTACTCTCTTTAGTAATAAATATTTTTTTCCGCAAGCTCTACGACTAATACTTTTCGAGATACAGCCGAGAGCTATTCTTAGTGGGACACCCGGTACACTTTGACCTGCCATCCATATGCACTATTTGTTCCAAGTACACTGCCATATAAATATACTTATATGCATGTTGCGCGCGTGTCGCTTTTACGCTATTTGACCCCGGGGCCCCGGGAACTTGGGGTCCAACAAATAAGTGACTAAATATTAAAAATTATTGTCTTCAATTTTAGATTGAAGTTATACCCAGTACTAGATTACAGCAATTAAGGGACTTAGAGGCAATAGCTAGCAGTCGTAGAGAAGTAGGACCCTGTGGTGGTTTTTCAGCTCAATACGCCTGCTACTGCGATTACCACGGCATGACTTATAGAGATGAAGTTGCTTGGGACATAGACAATATTTATTTTTCCCTCAACACCAGAGAACTAAATTTAAAGGATTTCGAATATTTTGATCAAAAGTATGGAACCAATTAATACAGAACTATTTTTTAATATTGTAGAAATGTTAAAGACAAATTCTTTTAGAACATGTGCCCAAGAACTATTGAAATCTATATTTATATCATATAATTAATAACAATTTTTATGTTTTCAGAGACTTAGTACCTATAATAAGTGCGTTAGAATATAATACGTGGTTTACGAAATTAAGGGCGAATCAAGTTAAGCTGTCTCACGATAATATTGACAGAATACTGTACATGTTGAAGAAATCGTTGAATTTGGAAGAATTGTTTTTGGATAACTTGGGTTTGAAGTCGGATTTTGTCAATAAACTATCAAACACACTCAAAGTCAATCCAGATTCAGCCCTACATACGATTGACTTATCTTTTAATCCAATCGAAGATAAAGGTAACCTTTCTTTGTCTTATTCTTTAGTTTTAATAGCAGGCATACCTATGCTTGTTCACATTTTTTATGACTTCTTTTTCCTAAATCTAATAGCATATAATACCAAAACTTTGTATTCTGAGCTTAGTGCTTCTGAATTGATTGTTTATTACAGGAAAAAATCGCTGTTACTGAGTAAAACTATAAAATAACTTTAGCAAATCATGTGGATAACTGTTCTCTAAAACAGGGTACAACAGAAAGAGAAACATTTGCAAAATTATTATTTTTTTCTACATAAGTTATCAGTAAAACTGATGTAACAGTTATTTTGATCTTTAATATTTATGAATAACCTTTTTTTACTTCATTTTCCAAACCTCTTGGCATTTATATACTCCATTTTGCAACTGATTGATGTTGAGACAGATCGAGGCAAATGTTATTTATAATAACAATACAATAAAGAACAGTTATGAAAATAAAAGTGCGCTGGCAGCGAATACTCGTGATGTAGAGTCACCAACGCTTCGCTTCGACATTCTACCAACTTTTTTGACAAAAAATAACAGTCCGTCGAGAGATATATAATGATATAATTTTAACAGTTGTTACTTTCTTAACAAATACCAGATCTAATAACTGCTATGGATTGCTGATATGCTGATTTTATGATGATTTTAGTTAATTTATGTTTTTATATCAAATATTTTTGTTAAGAGGATTGTAGGTAGAGATTAAAAGTATTAATGTGTCATTCTTGATTGTTTGTAAAGAAATAGAAAAAAAAAACAGATAGTATAGGTATCTATACTACCATGTTAAAAATGTGTATTATAATATACTGTTTTTGGTTTGGTTAATAAAAAAGTGAAACCTGTTATTTAAACTGTGATTTTTTAAATAAGAATAGCATTTTAAAATGTTATTTAGAAATAACAGTTTCAGTCACATCTGTAACAGTTAAATCCTTATTCTTAGACATACATTGGTTCAGATTTAGATTAGTTATTGAGTTCCTTTTGATAACTTGTTCATATTTCTTATTCTTTATAGTTTTATCATATATATTTTTGGTATCTTTGATATTTTAATTATTACAAGGGTTCGCAGAGTAAATAACAAGAGTAATTTCTTTTCAGGTGCTACATATTTAGGGCAATGTATAAACAGGCTAAGTAAAGGAATAGTTCACATAAACGTTTCCCACTGCGGCTTAAGTTCTAAAGGCGTCAACAATATCTCAAATGCAATTTGTTCAAACTCTAGCAATTTAAATAGTTTGACGTATTTAAATCTTAGTGGTAACAATCTTAAAGACGATATAAGCGTAAGTTTTATACCTTTATCACTTATATATTCTTTCTATATGGTTTTAATACTTTTCTAGCAATTACAGAATTTGTTCTCCCAAGCCAACGCACTGCAGTACATCGATATATCGTCTACAGATATAATTCTCGAAAATGTAAGAAAATATTTTATTTTAGAATCAAGTTAATCTGAAAATACTTGCTTTTTTGTAGCTTTTTGGTGCTCTAGTGAAAGGATGCACTACGAACTTGGTGCATTTAAATGTATCCCGTAATCCGTTTAGTAGTAAGAAAAGCAAGGAAGCTCCTATTTCATTCAAACAATTTTTTAGTACTACTCTTAATTTGAAGTATCTTAACATGTCTCATTGCAAATTACCCCAAGAAGCACTAAAGTAAGTGTTAATCTTTGGTTAAATATATTTTGAAAGTATTTAAGAAGCCTGGGGCTAGACACACAGAAAGAGCTAAACTGTTTTAGTCATAATCGCTTTTGTCTTTTATTTATTATTTAATTAAATATGCAAGGCAGCAGATACCAGAACAGGTCGCGACCCAAAATGTTTTAACATAAAACTACGATCCATCGATCGACGTCAATCAGCCTGACTGTGTCTAAATGAGTCTAAACCTGTCTTAAACCTTTTTAAATTACTACATAGTCTGTGGAAAGGGTTTTCATAAACTTACCTTGTAAAAAAGTATTTTTTTACTTCTAAAGTTTTTACGATCATCCCTGATTTGAAATGCTTTTGTAATTTTTCAGAAATTTACTGTTGGGCCTAGCATGTAACGAATTTACCAAAGAAATGAGCCTAGATATAAGTAATAACGGATTGGGTAGTCAGGGTGCTCACGTTTTGGAATCATGTGTTCACGGAGTTAGGTGTATTTCTAGTCTTGATATTTCCGATAACAGTAAGTTCCACCTCAGAGAAATAAGTAAACTTATAGGCGACCTCAAATATTTTAGGTTTTATTCTCTATGTTTACTTATTTCTTTGAGTTTCTAACCATTATTTCAGTTGTATTTACTGGGGACACAAACATTTTTAGATATGGATTCGGATTTATGTAATGTAGTCTTAGCCATAAGTAAGAATAGGTCTTTAAAACACTTGAATATGGGACGTAGCATGAAGAAACATATGGGCCTCATCATGGAATCCGTTGTTCAGATTATACAGGAGGATGAGTGTATTTTACAGAGTTTAATTATTCCAGATTGTAGGTTAAGGTCGGATATGTTCAACCTGTTAAATGCTCTAGGTGATAATAAATCTTTAGAGATATTAGGTGAGTAAGGAATAAATGACAGAAACTTTTTTTGTTATTGTAATTATACATTATAAAAGTTTAATTTAAAATTTTATTGTAAGTTTTTGTTATCATTTTTGACATGTCCTCTGTCTAAGTCAATATATTTTCTGGCTGGACAAGTTTGTTCTACAGGGTATTTAAAAAGTGAACGTCTAAATTTCAAGGCTCATTATCAAAAAATATGAAAAAAAGTTCCTATAAATATGAGTCCAGAAATACATAGCTTTAAATATACAGGGTGCGAAAACTTTAAAGATAGTTTTTTTTGTAAATTTCTTATATGTAAAGCAGTTTTTTTAATTTGCTGTAGGTAGCCCTGAACATTAAAAGTCTTAAAAAATTCAAGTTTTTTTAATGGGGCCCAGAGACCTTCAGTGAATTATTTTGTTTTTTTTTCTCGAAGACAGTTCTAGATAGTCATACGGTACAGAGAAAAAAGTTGTATTTTATTTGCTTAATCTAAAAAATATAAAATTGGTAAAAAGTCCGAGGCGTACTTTTTTCCAATTATTTTCAATAAGGTGTCTTCTGGGGCAGCACTGGAGTTTATAATTTTAATTTTATTAAGCTTAAATTAAACCATTGGGCGCGTTCAGAGAACACAGCCGCTGACATTCAGCGTAGAGTTTCGCTGACCCTTGATTTATGACATTTTACGATATTCCCTAAACGGCAAAAGGAACAAGAAACAGCAGCTCTGTCTACTATAAAAATTTGAGGGAAATATAAATAAATCGTCTTCAAATCGGTCTATAATCGATCTTTAGTCTTTAGAATAAAAATTATTTTGAAGAAAGAATTACTACTGGCTGATCATTTAATAATTGAAAATATTAACAGTTTATAAATAATTTTACCTATACGCCTAAACAGAACAATTTAAAATAACAGGAACTGGCAGTTCGACCAAGTCACCTTTTACGCATTTTTTTTTCGATGGTGTGGTACAAATAAAATTACTGAAGATGTAAATACCATACAATAAAAAAAAACGTCGGGGATGGCGGTGGAGATAAACATTGCTGTTATTTTATAAGTAAACTTATATAAGAAATGTTATCGATCGTCATATTTCTAAGCCAACTGGGCGCAATTTTTTTTGATCAGACGGTATAATTACTATCAAAAGTTATTTTGCTGCTTTAGATTTTTTTCAGAAAGTAGTATTTTATTTCTTTAATTTCATTGTATTCAGAAAATTCGACTTGAGATGGAAATCAAGTTGAATCTTCTTTATTTTTTCAACTTCTTCAATCTCTATTTACAACTTTCTTTTTCGAATGTTTATTAACCTTCTGCTTTGTAACTTTTTTGACATCAAATATCTCCTATTTTTTAAAGATTCGATTAACTACGGCTACGATTGACTGTAAACTTCAACAACCCATAAAAAATAAACAATAAAATGAAGTTATTTTACATTAGTTGACCACAGATAAGGAAATAGATCAAGGATGACTTGTGTCAGCCTAAATATTTACCGCTGAGAATTTTGCACAGCGGCTGACTGTCGCTGTTCGTCAGAATAGACCGTTTAGGAAATTCGCTTACTCAGCCACTCAGCCGCTGACCCTCCCTGAACGCGCTCGTTACATGAAATAACACTGACAAATTATAAGAAATTTGGCACAGAGTATTCAAGATGATTACAAAAAAAACTATTTTTTATATAAAGTTTAATATTCTGTATCTTTAAAACTACACATTTCCGGACCCATAGGAACTTTGTTACAATTTTTTTTTCAATTAACAAAAACGCCCTGTATATATAAATTCTTAGATTATTGAGGTTAAATTATAACGTTATTAATGATTTTCTTTCTCAGATATTAGTGGAAATATAATCGGCGACTCTGGTGCTCGACTGCTGGCCAAAGCACTGCAAATCAATAGCAAGTTAAAAACAATTATTTTAGATAGAAACAATATTACTTTACAAGGGTATAATGATTTAGCATATGCCCTAGAAAGTAACAGGTATTTTTTTTCTATTTAGTTAATAATTTTGTTTCATCTAATTTTTTTATAGAACTTTACAATATATTCCTTTTCCAATATTTGACGTGGCTCCATGTATGAAAGCTTCGGCGGAAAGAACTGACGTTATAATGCGAAAAATTCAGGATTTGTTAAACAGAAACGTTTGTTACAATAAACAAAGTACAAAACATACTTCTTTACAACCAGGATTTTTGTTGTGTTCAAAACAGCAAGCTTTGGAGAGGTATGGTCATTTTATTTTTGTATAAAAATTACATATTTATTTGGAACCTTTGGTACTAACAACAAAGCTTAATCAATGGCTAAAAGTTACACACAATCATGTTATATACTCCAAAAAATATGAAAATTACACACAGTTACAGTATATCCTTATACAAAATTTCACAGTATATACATATACTCCAAAAATACCAAATTTACACAGTCTTAGTATATACTCCAAAGAATATAAAAATTATACAATCACTGTACACAGGGTGGCGCACCTCATTCGCCTCGGTTGATTATACGAAAACGGAAAGATGTAGAAACAAAATATTTGATGGGTACATGTGGGAAGGCAATGTGCATGACTTAAAATTATTTTGAAATGTACAAGATGTATCTGAACTAAGATCCATACCAAAGTTATATTTTTTCTTATGGAACACCCGTTATTTGATTTAATTTTTGGATTTTTGGACATAAAATAAGGCATTTATTATAAGGGTTTAATATGTTAAAAAGCTTTTGTTTTTGAGATATTTAAATATGCATGCTATAATAAACAAAGTTTTTTTACATTACTTTTTAGAATTAATTCTTGTGCTGACTTTTAAGCCAGAGAAATAAGCTTTATTAAAAAATTTATTTGCTTCCTTACAGGGGTATCAAAAAATGCTGGTCTATGATAAATATTTATTTTACATAAAAACTTCGTTATTTCAAATGCAACACTTTGTATTTTTTTAAATAAGTTGAAGCAGATTTAAATGCTCTTTCAAACTATATTAGGTTTTCTTATACCTATCTGGTTCAGATTTTAAATAAAGAGCTATTTTCAAGAAAATGGTTATCAAGATGGCTGGTGTCGCCATGACAATTTTCTAGTGACACTAAGTAGCTATTTTCAAAATCGATATTAATTTATGGACTTTATTTAAATTTATAACAGGTTATTTTTATTTAATTTACCTACAATAAGGTTAATAAGTATTTATTATTTTATCAAGAAAAATGAAGCAGTATCTGCTGGCGGAAGGAATGGATATGTTACTAGTGATTTTATTTTGTGAGGATAATTTTATTGCTTGGAGGTTGGCCTGAAGGGTTTTTGCTCAAAAATATCCAAATTGGTATTTTCTTCACAAGCCTTCCTTTGGAAAACTACTTTTCCTATTTCGCAGATCTGATTGTGTAGTATATGAAAAACCTAGTAGGCTACAGACAGAAACCTGTCGTTGGAAGTGAAGATGTGAAGAAAATGAATTTGCCTTAATTGGTTCTTTTAATATAAATCAACGAAACTACTTCTTTATTTTTCTTGATAAAATAATAAATACTTATTAAACTACTGTAGCTAAATTAAATAAAAGTAAACTGTTATAAATTTAAATTTAAATAAAGTCCATAAACTAATGTTGATTTTGAAAATAGCTACTAACTGTCCTAGCAAATTGACATGGCGACACCAGCCACCTTGATAGCCATTTTATTGAAAAATCGCTTTTTATTCAAAATTTGAGCCAGATAGTTATAGGAAACCCTAATATAGTTTAAATGAGCATTTTAATCTGCTTCGACTTATTTTCAAAAATACAGAGTGTTGTATTTGAAATAACGAAGTTTTTATGTAAAATAAATATTTACAATAGACTAGCAATTTTTGATACCCCTCTAGCTGTATACATTTAAGAAAGCAATCACATTTTTTAGTAAAGTTTATTTCTCTGGCTTCAAAGTTAGCACAAGGATTAATTCTGAAATGGTACAGGGTTTTAAAAAACTTTTTTATTATAGCATGCATATTTATATATCTCAAAAACTAAAGCTTTTGAACATATTAAACCCTTATGATAAATGCCTTATTTTATGACCAAAAATCCTAAAATTAAATAAAATACCGGGTGTTCCATAAGAAAAAATATAACTTTGGTATGAATCTTAGTTCTGACATACCCTGTACCCTGTACATTTGAAAATAATTTTAAATTATGCACATTGCCGCTCTACATATACCCGTGAAAAAATGTTTCTACATCTTTCCGTTTTCGTATAATCAACCGAGGCGAATGACGTGCGCCACCCTGTATACTCTTTCTAAAAGAAAAGAAAATTATACCATATTACATGTATATACTCAAAAAAACATTACACATAGTGGCGGAAAAAAACACTTTTCTGTTTGTTAGCACATTTTAAAGATATAGAATAAAAAAATGCTTGGGTAGTGTGACAAAAATGTGTCTTTTTAACTTTCAAATACTAATCTTATGATCTTTATTTTTAGATTAGTTACACAAACTCAGGAGGCTATCAAATCGCTCGCCAATGACACTATATCATCAAATAATGATATAAATCACGCCAATGATGTAATACAAGATGCAGAGAACTGCAAACAACTGCTAGTCAGGTTGCAAGAAGTAGCTCAGCACCGTAATGATAAGCATCCTGTTGAAGAAAAACTTCAACAGGTGTCGAAAGAAATTTTTACAGCTGTTTGTGATAGTATACAGGTAGAGATTTTAATTTTTACATTGTTTTTGTTGTTAATAGGTAATATTCTTGATTTACTTTAGGTAATAATTGATAAAATGTTAAAAACTTGCAAAGAACAATGTCCGTATGTATTAAGAAATGAACAAACCGTTCAGGAAATTAAAAATGAATGTAAGAAAAAGAAGCAAATACCAATAGATTTCGTGACTAGCTGTATAAAACATCAAGCAGGTGTTGATATAATGAATAGGTTGAGGTAAGAATAAAAAAAATCCTTTTTTTATTTATTTTTATTATCACACTCTTATGTTTGGTTATTTTCAAACCAATGTTGTATCCATAAATATATTTTTTCTAAGTTTTGTTCTAAATTTTCTGGCGTAACACTTGACAATTCATGAATTAAATTTTCTTTGTATGAATTCTTTGCCTCATCTAAAACCACCTGCAACAAAACAAAATAATGATTAACTAGCTTTATGTATATATATCGTTTCTCGCACAACATATACCTACCTGAAATATTTCACAATCCACATTATCTTCCAGCTTTTTCCCTGCATAACCCCTTTTAATTAAACGGTCATACAAAGTTGTATTGTCTGTTCTCAACACGAATACCACATCAAACCATCTCTCTAAACATTAAATGAAAGTCAATTTGTGGTAAATATAGGTAAAGAATTATTTGTTTACCTGGAAAGAACTCGCAACTATGATAATCCACTATATTTCCGCCTTGGCACATGGTTTCTTCAAGCCCGTCCATTAATTTGTCTTCATCTAATACAGGACATTGATACACCTAAAAATATATTTCGGAAATCATATTTAAATAGTAACATAACATATGAGCTCTATACCTCATCATATTCTTCTAAACAGTTGTTTTCTTTTGCGATTTTTGATATTTCTAACCAATTCATTCCTGTAGTTTCGGCAACTTTTTTACACAATGTGGATTTTCCAACGCCTGGCGTACCTGTTATTAATATATTTGGTGCATCTCGTTTAATATTTGGTACTACAGGTGCACAATCCATATCATCTTCTTCACTTTCCATGTTTATTTCTAGTTTTATTCTAATTTTTAGATTTTTTAGTAAACTTGTAAAATATATTTTCTAACCTCAATTATTTAATGGAGTTAAGTTAGTCACGAAATATTTAAGGTGTGGCATTTGTTACCATCAAGGGGAATGTGTTATTAACTTCAATTTGTATCCATAGGCGGGTTATATAGAATTTTGCTAGGATGTGGTATTCATTTAAAAAAAAAATATTTTTTAGAGAAATAAACTTGATGGTTGCTTCTCAACTTTCCGAGCAAATCACCGATGAAGTTTACGAAGCTTTAATGCAAAGCTACAAGATTTTAGTCGGTGACGAGAGTGCCATTCGAATTGATTCGCCTCCGCGAAGATCCAGACTTAGTAGTACCGATAGTTCTAGGCATGGAGCCAGTGATATTTCTATTACAGATAGTGCCAGTCACATTAGTGATCATTCACCTATGGTAAGTGTTTTTAGTTTACTTTAAAATAGTTTAATTTGTGAAAAATAATTTTGTTTCTAAATGTTTCATGCAGTTACTGGAATATCTGAATCTAGTAAGTAATGATATTTATTGCAGATTTTTTTTTATTTTTTGAAGATTTATTATTTCATAAAATATACGTTTTTTTATTTAATAATTTTTCTGATGCTAGGCTACACCTCACTTGTCTATAAAACGCAAGAGTGTTCATAATCGCAAATTAAGGCCTAAATCTGTAGTGGACAGTGTTGAAGGCCTGTCAGCTGACGATATACCAAGTCTTTTACCTTCGTTGCCCAGAAACAGCGAAGAGGAAGACTCAGTAACAGAGTTGCCAAATGCTAGTCACCATTTGCAACACTTAGTGAAAGGTATTTTCTTGAATAAAGGTTAGTTCATCTCATTATTTGTCAGATATCATATCATTGGTTTAGAATCACAAGATATTGACTCTTGAGTTATTTGGCTATATCTTATTAGATAAAGTAGTGTCACAAAAAATAACTTATAACCTTACAGAAGGGACAGTGTCGGCTCCTTTGAAGTCATAAATTTTGACTTTTAAACTCACTTGTACATTTAAAATTATGTGTGGAATTTTATTGAGATTAATTTTGAAAAACACTGATTTTATTTCTCTTTGTATAGCTGTTATTATAGACACTTTTCTAGTCTGAAATAGTATTTTTTTAAGTTTTCATAAAATGTCAATTACATGTAAAAATATTTTCCTGTTTAATATTAAATTATTATTAATAATCAACTAATGCCGGCACTGTAAAATTACAGCTTAAAAATATCACAAATAAACTAACTTAAAACTTGGCTCATAAAAATATCGCCCAGTGTCGTTTCTGTGTAGTTTGGTATAAAGTCCCTAGATAATGTAATTAATAATTAACTTAAAACAGGATGACAATGACATAAATAGTGTGTGGTTTGAAAGAAGGGATTGGTGGGAATTGGTTTTTATGTATCTGAATTCAGACAATTATGATATTGCCATCAGTATTCCTACAAGAAAATATATGTTAAAAAGTATATTACTGTATTCTAGTTCCTAATTCAACAATCTAAACACTACCCAGTCCAGTAGTTAATATTAATTTCAAATTAGAACTTTTGCAAATTTTGGATTTTGATATCCCTTATATTTATGTCTCAACAGAACACTTTTTTTAAACCCATTCAATGATAGAGTCAATATTTGTAGTTCCAGGACTTAATAGCCATAAAAGATTGCATAAAGGCTTTTTTCATCCTAACCATACACGGTGTTCTGTTTTTTAGGTCGACCTAGAAGAGCTAAAACTAGAGCTCCAACTAGACCTGTAGTTAAACCTCCCGATGTTGCCGATTTGGTATCACAGGTAAGTCTTGTCTCTATGATTTTTTATTAAAAAAAAAACAACAAATGCACTAAATAGACGTATAATTTAGGAAACATTTTAAATTTTGTTTATAAACAAAAGTAAATGATATATTCTTAATCTTTCAATATTTTCTTATTAAACATAGTTATGTTACATGAAATACCGTATGATTAAAAAAACGGCGCAGCGATGGCTATGAAATGTAGATCGCTGTTATTATATATGTAAAATTATATGGGGAATGTGATCGATCGTCATTTCCAAGCAAAGGGAACGTCGTTTTTTTTCGATCATACGGTAGTATGTATTTATTAATGTCAGTCATGAGTTCATTTATTATAATAAATTTTTAGTTTTGTTGATGATGTTATAAAACTTGTAAACATTTAGAGAGCTACTAGATTTGTGTGTCTTAGTTTTGTTTTTTTTCTCATTAATTATTTTAAGATAATTAAAAATGTAGCAGGGGCGTGCGGTGAAATTTTTAACTTTTTTTTTAATTTAAAGGTTTATAAAAAAAGTCGAAAAATATTTATGTACATATATATCTATAGACATTGGAGATTACACATTACATTTTAATTGATATGAATTATTAATTAAAAAAACTCGGTTTCTTTTTGTCTCGGCCTATAAAGCTGCGTCCTCACTGAGTCGACACTGTCGATCGACCATGTCTATCGACATTGTTGATCAACAAGTCGACAAATCTGCATCTGTCCTCACCAGATTGACAGAAATGTTTGATTCAGTCGAAATCAACATCGATCATTCGAAATCAACATGTCTGACGAAGATAACGCAATAGTTGCTTGTGCCGCATATATTATTATCGCCAATTTCAAACTTTCAAAAGCAAACCATTTACTTGCAACACACATCTTCCGTACCAGTGCCAGATTTCTTGCTCTCTTTTATTTTTTTTTTCACTTCTCTTGCAAATTGACTCTGAAGATTTTTTTATTTTTTGTTCTCCCGCTTGCTTATCGATGTTAAATTGATTAGCAATTTCCATAAGGGCATCGTGCCTCAAGTTTCTGTTCTTATAGTTTTTGGTTTTAGAATTCCATAGATTCTTTTTCAGTTTGTATGCCTCAATAAAGGCTATGACTTTATCTTGTTCCCATTCCATTTCTTCAACGAAAAATCACGACTACGATGTCAACTAGCCAAGACGTCACTGTGTATAACAGTTTGTCGAATGTCGAACGTCGAAAACAGGTCCACACACTAATGTCGATCGACTGTTCTTTGATGTTTACCGACGGACGATGGAAAACAAATCGCCATGTCGATCGATTAATTCTGTCAATCGACACCGTCGATTGCCACGTACACACCAAGTCGATAGCGTCGATAGACAGGGTCGATCGACAGTGTCGACTCAGTGAGGACGCAGCTTAAGGAAGCACCGCTTCCCCCGCTTTCATGGACCGCACGCTCCTGAAATGTAGGCTTTAATTTCAAGTGGCAAGGTTGCGTACAAGAGCACCTTGTACCTAGGAGATGAGAGTACCTTGTACCTCAGCTAAATCTGCATATCTAATAAGGTTTCTAAAATATCCACGAATTTTAAAGTACAGGATTTTCAACATTTTTTTGTCGCTCATGGATGTATCTCTGGGATCAAAAATATTTGAACTTGTTTAGGAAACGCCCTATCTGCCCAACAGGCGAAAATACATGCTTCTCTATGTTACTTAAAATTTCTGGGTAGGCAGATTCGTATTAGCATATTTCAAAAGAGTGGTTTACTATATTTCTAATAATTTGTTATATTTAGTATTGATTCTGAATTAATTTATTCAGGATTTGGTGGAGGGTTTAGACACATTTTTCCGTCCGGGGTCCGTAACTCCCACATCCGACGACTGTCACTCGTTCCATCTGGATGGCAGTCCGAATCACGAGTTTGCGTCTCCTGTTTTAAGCGACGATCGCAAAACGCCCAAACTTAGTCGTAATTCCCCTCTACTAAAAGGTATTATATTTAAAAGAGTAATATTTTCAAGAGGTGTAAATTATTGAAAACTTTGTAGGCTTAATGACTCCGACGCCTAGGTCCCGTTCCACGGATAATTTGGAGAAGTGTTCGCCATCTTTGGTGAGGAAAAACACCGGTGATTCCCCTCTTAGTCGACGATTAACAGGTTTGCTTTTTTTCATTCTTTTTATTACGTAATAAAATTCAATAATTCATACGAAATCCAGTAAAATAACAATTTATTTCATTAATTTCGACTTTTAAACGAAGAAGATCATTTTCATATACTCATCACTGTTTATATTTTTTGTTTCTCAATTATGCTCAACAACTTTAGGGGACGATTCTTTAAATTATTTTGTAAAATAAATTTACATATTTTATAGAAATAAACAAATTTCCGTAAAACATGTTATATTTTTACATCTAGAAAAAAACGTTTAATTGAATACTTAGGGCCGGTTCTACAAAGCAAGTATATACCAGGTATAACCAATTTTTGGACTATCTATTAAAATTTCCGTTCAATAAGTAAAAAATGTCCTGAGAATAATTATTCCGAATTTATACTTGGCTTTGTACAATGGGCCCTTAGTAGTCACTTTTGAGAAGAAAATGCTACGCTACTGGTTTTTATTAAGATGTAATTTTTGTGAACTCACCCAACTCTCTAAAGTTGTTTGCATAAAAATTGTCGGAAAATGTCACTCCGGGATTTTTCTAAAAACGAATTAAACAAATATAAACTTGATGTGTAGTTGTTATTAATTAATAATTGTTATTTGTATATCTTATATGGTGTTTAAATCAGGCTAATCAATTTGCAATTTGTATATTTTTTTATCGTTTATCGGAAAAAAACTAATGTATAACGGTCAATTTGAAGACATTTTTGTTCTGCACATTTTTTTTACAGCGGTTGAAAAAAGAATTATATAGAATATTTTTAGTAGTTTGGTAGTTGGTCAACGTGTTTGCGTAAATTTATAGAGGCTACAACCCTATTACTTTTTTAATTTTTCAGATAAAAAAACGAGATTTGGTATGTTAGTATATGACATAAATTAGGATTGAATGACGTATTCAATTGTTTTCGCTCACTTCCTGTTTCACCGGAAATGACTACAACTTTTGATTTTTAAATGGCACCCTCGTTTTTTTTACTTTATTCTATAGAAAATGACACTCTGAACAGAATGACATATCATATGTCAACTTTTGACATTTTCTCAAATAATTTATTTGAAATCCGGTTTTTGAACATGCGGTTTACAACGACAATTTCACTCGAAATACCAAGTGTATGGTACCAAATTAACAACCTAAGAACATAGTGGAGCGACCAGGATAGCGGCGAACCAGCAGCGAGACATCGCGCCCAAAACAAACCTGTGAAAACAAGTACGTGTGAAAATAGCAAAGCGATCTGCTCGAGCGGTTAGATCGAGCGGCGAGATCGATTCAAATAATGTTTTCGTCGCTCTGTCGCGCTGTAGAAAACTATGGATTCCCAAAAATTAATAGATTTAGTATTTGTAAGAAAGTTTTGATCGGACAAAAAAATAGAAATCACCATAACCGGCACATTTTAGATAAGTTATCTCTCCGGGTTTTGAAAATTTCATGTTGTAGTGTACAAATTTCATGTACATTACACTTTTCGGTTTGTTGGTTTCGAATAAACCAAATATTTGCGACACATTTTAAATAATTAATTAGCAAATGAAAATAATAAAGTTGCGAGTACCTCGCTATTCCTCGCCGCTCTACTATGTTTTAGCACGTCGAGGCTTGATCGACGCGGTATTGCGCTGCTTGCTCGCCGCTATCCTCGCCGCTCCACTATGTTCTTAGCCTTATCCGTAAAAAAATGCTTTTTCTTAATATGTTAATGAGCCACCCTCGTTCCATTTGAAAAAATTGAGATATGATTAAAAATACGATTTGGGCATCTTGACATGTGACCAAAAACAATTGAATACGTCAATCAATCCTAATTTTTGTCGCATACTAATATACCAAATCTCGTTTTTTTATCTGAAAAAATTAAAAAGTTATAGGGGCGAGCCACTTTCGAGACGCATCCGGTATAAGTAAATAACTTTTTAGAAGAACGCCAAATCTAAAAATTGCAATTTTTTTCGCACTTATTCATGTACACTTCTTACGACAGGTGATAGCTTAATAAGCCAAGAAAGCAGCGAGGGAAGTTTGGCAGCTGAAGCGACCTTTGATCATTCCCCAAGCAGCACATTATCGAAACGCGTATCTCCAGATAGCTTTAAAGGTTTCAAAATCCCATTCACTTCAACAATTTTAATCATATTTACTTAATATAGTTCTTTTAGAAAATTCCGACCCTTCCAAGCAGCTAAAACTGAAACCATCACCGGCCGTAGCTCAGAAACCCAGGCCTTGGTCTATGGTGAACAACACCGAGTCTAAATCCACCGATCTGGGTCTTCTGAGCGACGGTTCTTCGCCTAATAATTCGACCGGGAATACTCCTGATTCTGCTGAGGCTTTGGATAGCTCAGAATCCAGCTCTATTGATAGGAGAATTGCAAAAGATATTAAATTGAAAAGAGGGGGTAAGTTAACTTTATTTTGCGTCTGTAAATTTAATTTTTTGTGGCTTATTAAATGTGTTATTAAATTTATTTTCTCTTTTTTGGATTTCTTACTGCTTCTTATTATTATGTATAATTTTATTGTTTTGTTTTACTTTCCTGTCTTGTGTCATAGATTTAAAAATGTGTATGTACTAAAAGATTTTTTTGCACTTCATGCTTCATAAAACTGCACAGTAACTGATTAGTGATGAAGTTCCAACTATACAACTAACAATACACTTAGTCCTAAATATTTCCTTCTGTTCTCATATAAGGTAACTTCAACCTTAAACATACTTCACACAAGGTCGCGTTTTCTTAAGAATTTGGTGACCAAACACAATGTATATATATATTAGCGTAACTAGCAATTCGTTCTAGGGCGGCCTAGTGCTTTAATTTTTTATAAAATGAAGAATAATAATATTAAAAAATAAACACATTTATTGTGTGTGAATAAAACGCCTTACGTGAATTTCTCTATCAATAAATTTCATAGATTTAGTCATCAGACCGTGTTCCCGTGGAGCACTTAGATACCTACAAATTTTGTAAAAAAAATAAAACTAACACATTTTTTGAACAAAACTAAATAATATTAAATAAACAAAACTAGAAAACGTAATTTTTAGTACTTCACAAGCAAATAAAAATTAATATTTAGCTAAGAGTCATAATTCAGTCAAAATTCAAGATTTCTCTAGGGGGTGCCCAGCAGAGGGGGCTGAGAGGCCCACCGAGAGGAGGCCGCTCCCGGGCCCCCCTGTAGTTACGCCAATGTGTATAGTGGGTGCCTCTCAAAAGTGGCTCACCCCTATAACTTTTTTATTTCTTCAGATAAAACTACGATATTTGGTATGTTAGTATATGACATAAATTGGGATTGATTGACGTATTCAATTGTTATCGGTCACATCCGGTTTCACCGGAAATGACTACAACTTTTGATTTTTAAATGGCACCCTCGGTATTTTTTTACTTTATTCGATAGAAAATGACACTCTGAATAGAATGACATATATCATATGTCAACTTTTGACATTTTGGCATATGGTTTATTTTAAATTGTAACATGCGGTTCATAACGACAATTTGACTCAAAATACCAAGTCTGTGGTATCAAATTATTCGTAAAAAAATGCTTTTTCTAAATATGTTAATGAGCCACCCTAGTTCCATTTGAAAAAATTGAGATATGATTAAAAATACGATTTGGACATCTTTTAACTGGCCAGGACAAGACACTAAAAACATTAGACGATCAAATATATTTTTCCAAGGCTTCTTGATTAAAAATTAGTATTTTTAACACAGCCATGGCACTCTAGATTGAAATTTAAAATAGAATTTCTTAATTAATAGTCATTTTCTATCGAATAAAGTAAAAAAATACCGAGGGTGCCATTTAAAAATCAAAAGTTGTAGTCATTTCCGGTGAAACCGGAAGTGACCGAAAACAAATGAATACGTCAATCAATCCCAATTTATGTCATATGCTAACATACCAAATCTCGTTTTTTTTTATCTGAAAAAGTAAAAAAGTTATAGGGGTGAGCCACTTTTGAGACGCATCCGGTATACTATATGCATAACAAGTAATTCAAGATTATTTTCTAATTTTTATCAACAGTACTGAGTATTTTTTGCTTTTATCATAATTATTATAAGGGAAAAAAAGAAATGTTTCCTTATTGTTTTTAAGAAGAGTAGTCTCAGATATCTCTGGGATTACTCAGATTACAAGAACCATAGCAGAACGTATTTTAGACTTCAGAATAGCATTAAATTGTAGAACATTTCTTTAGTCTGTCTAATGAGCCAGGGAATATTTCGACAGACGACATCAATTTTTGACAAAAAATACAATTTGCCCGTGAATTAAAACGACAGATACAACTGTCACTGTTGGGTATCCTCTCGTTGGACAGACTATACTTTAAATCTTCATGTTATGAATTTCTTATGGACTCTTAAGGCGTTTTGTTGGTTGCATATTCAGTTACATCTCACTAAATGTCCTAATTTGTTTATTAACCCTACAACAACCGTTTCCATGTTTCAAGGATTCTTCATTAAAATCTGTTTTGGATATAAGTATGTAGACAAAATATGTAAGTGTTTGCATTCTTTATAAATTGACATTGTTTTGACATTATTTTCTTAGTAAACTTTAACAAATTAATTTGGGACAAGGATACTGTATGATCGAACGTTCTTTTCATTTGGTCATATTTTATCCATATCTGACAGCTTATGAAGAATTTTTTCCCAAAATATCTTTAATTTAATTAGAAGGTTTGTGACCACATACTTACCTGCTTTTAAGAAGTATTATACACACTCAATTATGTCTTGTTTGCCTTTTATTTTGCCTTATTACTCATTTATGTTTTTATTTCTTTTTCCGTTAAGGAATTTTACAGAGTTATTTTCCGGACAGGGGCGATTTCAAGTTTTTGTCCCGGTACAAGGTAATTTTTATTTCACTGATTTTTATTTATAATATTTTTTATTGTTTCTTGCTATTTATTTCCTTGTTTTGCTTTAAATCTATGTTTTATATGTTAAAACAGCTTCAAAATTATCATTCATGTCCGCTTTAAGAGTATGTGACGCTCAAAATATTGAAAATAGTGAGCTAAATATGATGTTAAACTGTGATAAAAATGCATGTTTTCTCGCTTGGTTACCATGATTGACTTTTGACTTTTTTATAAATATAAAAATCAGAAAATTCTATAAAAATAAAAAAGCTAATTTAATGACACACTTATGAGTATTTTTGAAATAATGTTAGATCTGCTGTACAGGGTGGGCCAAACTGGCAGCTTTTAAATGGAAACACCTTTTTCTATAGGAGATAGACGAAAACTAGTAACGGTGTCTGGAGCTCAATTTTTATCAAAAACATGATGGTGAAAACCGCACATCGATATCTGTTACCGTTTCGGAGTTACGGGGTGTTTTTTAAAAATGTGCATTTTTAACAAATCGCTGTAACTTTTTTGTTATGGAACATTTTGTATTTTTGTGAAAACATTTTCAAAGCACCTTGTTACGTAGAATTTAATGGTTTAAGTATATTTTTTTTAATTTAATAATTTAAGAGTTATAAACAAAAAAAATGATTTTTTATTTGGGACACCCTGTATATTTTTAATTAGCTGAAAAGAACTTAAAATTACCTTTCCAAAAATATAGCATACTTGATATTTTGTTATAGCCTCCTTCCAAATACAGAATTTTTAAGTTTGGTACTTTTAACTAGATAGGCTTTGGACCCCTTATTGATGATCTGCCCCTAATGGAACTCGAAAACATATTTTTCCAACAAGACGAGGCACCGTCTCAGAATGCTGAAGTTATCAGCAAATTTTTGCAGCCAATTTCGAAAGTAATTGAATAGCTAACCAAGATCGACGACGCCGGAATTAGAGCCTATGGATTTTATCTTAGCGGAAGAATAAAGGTTCTTATTTTTAAATTGCCCGTATAACCTAGACAAGAATTAGAAGTGCTTAGCGGTTATGCGAGGGTATCTTTCACCCCTACTGAGTTAATGAATTCCACGAGAAATGTCCAAAAACGGTCCGGTCTTTCCATAACAGAAGACGGTCGATATGTCGAACACCTGTAGCAAAATCTCATATCTTGGTTTGCTATTTATTTTTATTCTTATCAGATATAGTTTAAATACGTTGATGATGTTAAATATAGTTTAAATTGTTATAAAATTCTACATCTCTCATTGCAAATATTATTTGCGTTTTAATTCCTGCTCACAGCTAGAATTTTTTTGCATTACAGCCTTTTTGCATTCAAAGCCTACTTATTCAAAGTGGACGAGTTTTTAAAAACTCTATATCTCGAAGACGACCCGAGCAAAATATCAAGTGTGCTATATTTTTGGAAAGGTAATTTTATATTATTTTCAATAAATTAAAAATATACAGGGTGTCTTAAAAAATCAAATTTTCTGTTGGTAATTCTTAAATTGTTAATTTAAAAAATATATACGTAAACTATTAAATTCTACGTAAAAAGGTGATTTGGAAATGTTTTCACAAAAATACAAAATTTTCCATAGCAAAAAAGTTACATCGATTTATTTAAAATGCACATTTTTGAAAAACACCGTAACTCTGAAAGGTAATAGATGTCAATATGCGGTTTTCACCATCATGTTTTTAATAAAAATTGAGCTCCATATACCGATATTAGTTTTCGTCTATCTCCTACAGAAAAGGGTGTTTCCCTTTAAAAGCATCCAATTTGACCCACCCTGTACAGAGTACAGAGTGGGTCTATATCAAAAAATAAAAATATCAATTTTCCCATTTGTAATGTTAGCTTCCAATGAAAAAAAAAAGTAAAATCTATTTGAATCACACTGTGCAAATGTATGTAAAGTATTGGGGTTAAAATCACAAAGGGAAACCATATGCAGATTTTTCAGTACATTAGATGATTCTGTTTATCATTCTTAATTTTTCTCAAGGCCTTGTGTTCACTATTCATTATTTCAGCGTTACATACTTTTCCATCATTTTCTCGTTTTATTTCTTTAACACTAAACAAAAAAATGTAGCCTACGATCAGGAAAAACTGAGTACAAATACATGTACAACTAAGGCGTAGAATAGCTTTGAAATTTACGCTTTTCTTATTCCCGCTAAAAAGCAACGAGTTTGTAAAGGAAAACATATTATTATAAAAACTATTTATTGAAAAGGACTTCAAATAAATCACAAATAGCTAGATATAGGAAAGCCCAAACTTAAATGCTACTGTACGCCTACTGAATTTTTTTTTTCAAAATTTTTGTATTTAACGTACATCTTCAACATGATATAAGAAAGATTTGTTGATATTTTAGAATATATTTTTTTCTCAATTATTTAGGGGATAATAACTAAGCCAGGCCAGTCTTCTAATGCCAGTCAAGATAGGAGAGATAGCAATTTTAACTGTAGGACAAAGGAGGATGCACATATTGTTAGATAAATTTATAGTCTCATTTCTTTGGTTCTTTTGATTAATAACATGAAACAGAACAATTTAAAAAGAAATACAAGATGTAATTGTTGTTTAAAGGAAAATAACCAGGAATTAAATTAAAAATAGTCAGTTGTGTGTTAATTGTGGAGTTACTCAAGATTTTCCATTAATATTTAGAGCTTAGGTATAGCTTTTTAAGAAAACGAAACAAAAATACTCCTTGTATTTTTATTACCTTGGCTTTATATTAGTCATTTATTTTCTGATGAAAAATGTTTAAATTTCGTAGTCAGACTTAAAACTTACTCATTGATTGTTTTATAAAAGAAAAATATAATGTGTGAGTTTTTAGCCAGTGATAGTTTTTTTACTTGACTGCCAAAAAAAGTTCGCTAGCCAAAAGGTGATGGTTTTCTAAACAGTGACCCTTTTTGAGATATACATTTTAAAAATTGACTTTTGAAGTTGTTTATTAACTTTCAAATTTAATGACTTGTGCAATAGATTTTTAGGAGCACAATTAAAAGTTCTATACTTAGAGAACGATTAATTATAATGATAATCACTGGTAGAGTAAATTCTGGTATGTATAGTTCTCGTGTCTTCTTTTTCCATGTGATTTTACTCATAGACTGAACAAGAACTTTTAAGATTCCATTCCAAAACCTACAGAAATCAAACGAAAAAGATTTTTTTTTTTATAATAAAGGTTATTTATTATTTTAAAAATAACTGTATTTTTTTCTCATTTCATTTTTTATAAACCTTCTGATAAAAATTATATAAAAGTATATATTATAGATTTTTTTGATATTATATTTGATTTTATTTGTGATAAAAATGTTTTTTTTTAATATATGTGAAATTTGAACTGAAAAAGTTACACTTCTGTATATAGAAAATTATTTTATATTTACTTTTTCTTATACAGGCTCATGGGCGTCATAATGCTTTAGTATTTAATCAAATTTAAGAAGTTCAAAATTATTACAAAATCAAAAATTCTCTCTAAAAGCATTATGAGTTTATGACTTGCTTTATTATCAAATACTTTATGGTAATTATTTATATCTTAGACTTTATATATTTTTTTACACTGAGTATATATCTTTTTTAACTATGCTTCCATTTATAGTTACTAACTGTTCTTTTTATACGTAAAATAAAATTATACCTTACTTCACAAATTGTTTTATTTCACCTACATTGTATATTTACATTAAATATATAAATTATTACAAATAAAAATTAAAAAAAAAAACAATATTGAAAAACTTTAACAAACTAACTAAAACTAAAATAAATTTAGAATGTAAAAAATGGAAATGCTTTTTGGTAAATAAAATATTTCTATTTGATAGATGCATGTATAACATATGTATAGGTCTTTAAATTTGTGTCTGAGTTATAAAAAATAATTTCTAGAAGAATGCTATGTGTTTGGTGTTTGGCAATCACTTTCCTATTTTCTGAATCACTTTAAAAACAGAACCTCCCATTATATATACATTTTTTGAATACTGAATTTGTTCGTATCATAAGTCTTCATCCCCACTATAGTATAATCCTGAGTATATAATTATCCAAGTCACCTGAAAACTGCTTTTAGTAATGACTCTTTTTTGATATTTTTTGTTATTACCATAAATCCTGCAAAAGAAGTCATAAAACCTTCCTTTGTTAATTCCCAGGCCCCATCGTATTCTTCCTCATCCACATTTTGAAAACTACTGAAGTAAAAGTATATTACTCCTGCATTTATTAGTACAAATCTAAAAATTAAGCCCATAAAACTTGTAGTCAAACATGTTACTTTAAACATACAATGCTAATCCTAAAAATCCTTTTAATGGGACGATACCCCATATTATTCCTAAAATTATTCCAAGTATTTGTCTAGCCCAATAAATTACATCTAAAAATTCTTCCTAAAATATAGTAACAAAATATGGAATTATTAACACATTAGGATATAAGTTGTATACTGTAACATATATTTGTGTCTCCTGAATACTTGATTAGCAAAAATCGGGAATAATATGGTTAGATGAACTGGATACTATAAATAATATATACTTTTTGCATTTTTTAGATAATTAACAGATATGTACTAGTATCATGCAGTTGCCGTAAGAACTATGAGTTTATAATAATTAATTTTATTCAAGGAAAAAAAGATACACTGCAGCAAATCATAATCCACTTAACCTAAAACTCACTTTATCTGGCCATTCTGAGTTTGCTGTAAATGCCCTAGACCAAACAGATAATTCGACTGTTTTTACCGATCCATTTCTTTCTCCAGACTTAGTTTTAGTACTCATTTCTTTTTAAATAATTAGCTATATTAATAATTATTGTTCAATTAAAAATAAACCACAAATTCTTGTCAAGTGATTTCTGACTGACAGTCATCTGACAGTTGACAGTCAACTGACAGTTATTTCTTTTCTGGTGCTTTTCTCCAGAGATATGGAAGTGGGAGAATGAGCTTCGACGAGTGCGCATCCAAATTTTTGTCGACGGCAAGATGGCAGACATCTTCCAGGTCTCGCTGTCACTTCCCCTCTTTAATTGACATCTGTTTGTTTTGTTTTGTTTTTCGTTTGTGTTGTTATCTAGTTAAAATTTATTATTATCTCAATTATTCAAACACTAATTCAAAAAGGCCTGTTGTATATTCATAGTCATTCTAGAAAGCTAATACGCCGGGAATAATGATTAGTTTTCATGTGTAAGTTTATACAACATAATCGTGTTTACAGATGATTCAAAACTGTTTATTTTTAACTTTCCTAAAGGCGATTTGTAAAAATCGTGATTGTAATTGGGAATGGTCAAAAATAAGTGTATGATGTGGCCATTTAAAGAGGATGTTTTTATTACGTGTGGAGGAAGAAGATACTTGGAATCAATGTTCGTGGTTCTGTAAAACAGTGCACTCTTATAGTGTCCATGAAAGCACAAGTTCAAGTGACCAGAAATATATCAAATAAGATTGGTCCTTACTTGACAAGAAGATTATTTGGAGGAAAAGAAAACATAAGATAGGGTATTTTAATCGAACAGCGAAAATTTAACATTTTTATTGTAAAGTTTGTTGTAGGTAGTTGTAGTTTTGTGCTAAATATTTCTAACATTAGCAGCGGCTGTGTTCAGAGTGTCAAGAGGAGGAGAATTCAGTTAATTAGATTTATGCACAGTTACAGGTATGAAGGCTTTTTCAAACATAGTATCGAGTTCTATAGTCAACATTTTTAGTATTCCTACAACTGTAAAAACAAGGAACATTGGACTGGAAAATGGCAAGATTTATATAGGAAGAAAGGGTATTATGCCAATAAGAAAATTAAATCTGTAGGCAGAAGTTTCTTATTTAAAAACTGTTATGGGGCATATATTAATTTGTATCTGTGCCACAAATCACTGAGAAAAATCATATAATATTCATAATTGTTAACGAGATGATATTTAAAGAGTGTTAAAAATGAGATTATTAGTCATGAAGCTTACAATGTTACTTTGTTTCAATATTACACTTTTATTCTTGTAAAATCTATGATGAAGCTCAAAAGCATTTTGCAATGGCCTTAAATTGTGAGCCAGGATTTATAGCAAAGGTATTTGATGCAATGAAACTTAATCAGGGGATTGTCAATCCCATGTTTTTAAATAGATAAAATACAGGCCAAAGTTGACAATATTACAGTTGAGAAGAAACTATTTTATCTTAAAAAAAATTTCTTAAAATTCTGAGATCATATAATCTAATTTTCTTAATAAATTAGGTATATGTATGTTGTACATACAGAATTTTGGTATGGACAAATAAGGATCGACAAGCTTCTTTTGTGCAAAAAATAAATTATTTTTTGTAGTATTAAGACAAACGATAATGTGTTTTACAAACTTACCGGTAACAGTTTTTTTTATAATAAAATATTTAGGAATAATTTGGGTTGTTTATCAATATATTAATGACTTGAATTTTGACAAATTGAATTTGTATCAAAATAATTTTACGAAATATAAAATTGATGTTCTATTACAAGACTGAGTTTTTTTTGTCGACAAAAACCAGGATAAATACTAATAATAATACCCATAATAAAATCAATGATGTTTATGTATTATGAAAATATTTGTTAGAAGACATGTTATGTAACAATTTTTGGTAACACAATTTGAAGGGACGAATAAAAAAAATAAAACAAAAACATATTTTTTCTAGGTTTTATATTAAAAATACAAGGTAAGTAATCATCAAAAATAATTATGCACCAAATGTTTTTATGAATATACAACTTGAACAAAAGTTGTTTAGAACAATTTTACCAAATTTGCAAAAATTTTAAATTGAAACGCGTAATTCTGTACAAGTAAACATGAAATAATTTAAATACTTATTTAATGGCATTTCGAGTGTTTAACGACGAAAAGGTCATCTGTCTGTAGCGTCTTTTGTCAGAATATTCTTATATTTAGTGTATTATATACCAATATTGTACGCAGTTTTGAAACTGATAATTAAATAAATCATATTAATGTTAACTAACCATAATAAATGATAGAATTTCACTAAATTTAAATTGCCCCCCGTATGGTTGAAAACAGCAAATTGATATTTGATTACTTATAGATTACCACCTATATACAAAATGACACGGAGACCTGGAATATGGCGCCCAACTTGATTAGACCTTCCGCGCATGTTGAAGCTCATTCTCTATCCCTTCTATTTCTCTGCTTTTCTCCTATGGTATGCCCAGAAGATAGGTACAAAACAGCCACAGATTAAAGAAGGCGTAACTGTTATATAGGGGGTTTCACAGAGAATAGCTACATTAAAGAAATGCTAACTTCATGTTAAAAAATGGAAACAGACGCCACCTGGTGTCGCCTGGCAGTACTAGCTAAATTGAGGGGAATTGGAGGGGCGGGCCTTAAAAAAGGGGAAATTTAAAAAAAAATATTTTTATAAGTATCACTGACTTACTGTTTAAAGTTAATAAACATATTTTTTATTACTTTTATATAAATTAATGTATTAAAAAATATGTCTATTAACTTTATACAGCAAATCAATGATATTATTAAAGACTTATTATTTTCAGAGAAAATTCATAGTAAATAAATTACACATTATTATACTAAACAGTATCATTTATTTGTTAGAGCTGCGATTTATATTACAATAATATTGAAATATATATATTTTTTTAACAATGAAAAAGAATATCACGGAACCTGAAAAAGAAAGATGATCAATTAATGACTTAAATTAGTTCAAAATACATTTTGCAAATAACTAGTGAATTGGAAAGATAAACATACTATTAAAAAGACATTTTAGAAGTATGTTATCATCTATTTGCTGATAATACATAAGTATATAATAGGTAAATAACATGCATAAGGCACTATGATACAACTACCTGTATCATGATAACACACTAATATCACAAAAAATATATGCTAATTTAAATTCCTTTAATGATCTAATGAAACACTATCTAGCGTCAATGCATGCCATTCCAAAGGCAAAAAAAACTGTTATACCAAATAAATATAAGCTGAATAAAACATAAACCAAGCCAACGTGCATAAACAACCAAAAAATGCATCAAAAAATACTTTTATCAGATCATACCCTTGGATATATTTGTATTTTATATATCGCACATCCCGTTCAAAGTTTACTAACTCAAAATAGAGAATATAGAGAACATTGTCAGGAGAAGTAAAAGAAAATTTAAGTTAAGGCAATATGCTCCTTTTTGCATATTAATGGCCAAATAATATAATGTTGATTTAATAAAATTTTACTGGCATCCTTCTGAGGTATAAATCAGATTAAAAGGACATTGTTTTTGTAATAATTGTTTGTTTTGTAAACATTTTTTGAAGACAATACAGTTTTGAACGGGCTGTGCGATATAAACAAGGATCTTACTATTATTTGAGGTTAGAAAGTATTTAAATAATATAAAACATAATCAAAATCATTTTTCATCATAAATTATAGAGGTACTTACGTGTTTTGATATTATTATCAGGAAATAATACGTTTAGTTAAACAGGTACGCTGCCAGGCAAGTTCTACCGGCGGGTCTTTGCAAAAGTTGAAATCTAAAAATACAAAAATACGTTTACATCTTAGTTGTATTTACGAATAAAGTATTTGTGTGTAATTTCTGACTTACCAGTTAACTGAATAATCGCATTAAATACATCCAAATGGTAATTTAATATTGTAAAAAAGCAAAATTGTTGTAAATCACTTGCCAGGACAGCCCGGCCAGCTTCTTTGTTGGCAAAATGGCCGCGGTATCATGATTTAAGCAATGTGAGTGACAAAGAAAGCCAATGCCTGGCAGATGTTGCTTTCTTTGTCGTTGGTCCTGGCACGTTTAAATTTGACTGTTGCCTGTTTTCCCATACAAGTGACACCCCCGTGGGGTTTCATATAAAATTTTATGATATACAAATAATTTGTTATATTAAATTCTACTATAATATTATCTGCTAATAATTTTATCTGTTTTCTTTTTATTTAAATAATTCGCGGAAGAATTTAAAACTGGTGTATTGAAAAATAAATATATTTTAAAAACAATAGAAAAAGAATATTTTTACTACTTTATACCACTCAGATACCACCCCTTCTCTGGAACCACTTTATACCAAAATATAGAAAAAAAACGGCGTCAGCCATGGCTATGAAATGAAGATCGCTGTTATTTTTTATATGAAAAATGATATGCCAATTGTCATCGATCGCCATTTCCAGACCAACTGGACGCCGTTTTTTTAGCTGATCGTACCAATAGGTATGGTAGGCTATTAAGATCGCCAAAATTTTTTTTTTAATTTCACTCAAAATGAGTTATTTGGATCATAAATGATCTAATTACAAAATATTTTCATGGTGTTTGTTTGTCTGTCCGTCTGTTTGTCTGTCCGTCTGTAACACGATAACTCAAAAACCGCTAAACCGATTTTAACTAAATTTGGCACAAAAATACTGTGGCACCCGAGAATCTAGCCATTAGTTTTTGGTGGGGGTGGGGGTTGGTAAGGGGGTATGGGAGTAATGGGATAATAACAAGTGTATACCTAGTGTATTATTAGTTATTTTTGTTGTTTTATTACCCCATAACAATAGTTACTATTCTATAATTCTATGGCAATCTCTTCTTAAAATTGATATGAAAAATTTAGACCTCTGAATCTAGTTTTCAGAAATAGAGTAAAAGTATTTTTTGGGGCTAATCAAAGATATTTAAACTCAGGAGATACAACGATCCATTCATAAAACGCTCTAAAACTTCATCACACATTGGTTTGCGAAAATCAACGAGTGCGAAAGAGAATGGACAAAGAAGGGAATAGGGTATCGGCGCTACAGCAACAATGTTGTTATTTACAAAGATTA